ATATCACCACACTTCTAAAAAAGACACCAAAACACTTTCAATATTAGAGAATAATATATATTTATCATTGATTCATTTCCAATCCAATTTCTTTTCCAGTTTAAAGTCAAGTGTGGCTAGGACCTATGCCAGCAGTTTAGGGTACAAGGTGGTCCAACCTAGAGAGGGACAGGATAGCTTTTCATCAAAAGGCACAAACAAATACACACAGACACACACTAAGACTGTGACAACCCTGACATGCCACTGAAACTAATCTGCACATTTTTGGGCTGTGGGGAGAAAACTGGAATGCTCAGAGCAAACCCACAGAGAATGCACAGACAGTGACCACAGTCAGGAATATTTTTCTCTCTTATTCATATTATAGCAAACTGATATTGAACAAAAGAACATTATTATAGTACCTGCTATACTATGACTCAAAGGCTGGTTCTTACCAACTCTGCTTTACTACCAACTACATAAATGTATTTCACATAGTTCCCCCAAAGTCCTTTTATAGCAGTAATAATTCCCCTTCTCCGATTTTATTTCTGAAAACAAAAAAAAACTGAAATAGTAAAGCAGGTAGGGTACCTTTTGTCTTCCATGTAACTGAGCTGGGTTTGATCCTCTCCTCAGCACCCAATATAGTCCCCTGAACCCTGTCAGGAAGATCCCTGAGCACAGAGCCAGGAGTAAACCATGAGCACTGCTGCATGGTATGGCCCTAAAACAAAACCAAACAAAATCAAGTCTCAATATCTGGGAGATAACTCAAGGGGCTAGAGCACATACTCAGTCCCACACTGCATGGTGAGTTACACAGCTCTGCAGTGTGGCAAAAAAAAAAAAAAAATTAATATATAAAAATCAAAGTAGGAGATTTTATAATTAGTACATTAGTATAATTTTTTATACTGTTTTGTCTTGGAGCCATAGCCAGTAGTGCTCAGGGGTTACTCCCAGTACCATGCTCACTCCTTGCTGTGCTGGAAGAACATACAATGCCAGGGATAGGGTATCAGGAACCTGGAGTTCCTATATGCAAAGCATGCACTCCGGGCCTCTGAACCCTCTCTCCACTCCTCAAATTCATCTGTATACTGAAAGCTAATTATTTTATCAAAAGATCAGCGTGAATCTTTATACTCATTATTCAATATTTTCAGGCAACTATTCTTTTTTAAATAAACTTTCAACTTCAGACATGGTACTTTCTGGGGTCCAAAGTAGGTGGTAGGTAGGTAGCTCAATGGACTAGTGCCATACTTTGCATGCTGAAGCCCCAGGTTATATTACAATATCTCCCAAGACCCTCAAACACATAGGTAGGAACAACCCCTAAGAACTGCGGGTTGGGCCCCCAAACAATAAAACTATTCCTTTTCTTCCCAGAAACGTCTTCCCAGAAAGAATCCTTCTCCCAAAGGAATCATAGTGTACCTGCCAGGTGAAGAAGGCCTTCAAAAGATTCACAGGTAGGTCATCTTAATAGTTTATTTGAAATGGAATGCATTTTGAAAATATGAAAAATAAACCACATCTCTCTCAAATCACTTGAGAAATATTTACATCAATTAGGACCACAATGTTCAGTTCACACATGTGACAGTTTTTCCAACATTTGGTACATGGTGATACTTTTCCAAAGCTTGCATTTGCACATTCTGGAACTCCAAGAGGGCTGACAGTGGAATGTAACAGAGAATTTCATTTTCTTCTTAAAATAAATAGTGATCTAGAAGTACCAGCTGTTGTTAGAAACTTCCCCATGGCCTGGCTAATAACCAGCAGGCCAGCTTCAGAGCAGATAGGGGTAGGTCTCTCCAGCTTTTAAGCAGAGGTGCTTCTTGATGCCCCCCCCCCCCCCCGCCAACTTCTTTCACTGAACAATAATCCCCTAAGAAAACCTTGCTGGGTTCTCTATTCCATTTGGAGAAGTCCCGCCAACAAAGTCATGAACACTGCATCATTCAATCTTACATTAAATGTGAACTGACTTCTCAATACTGCAGATTCATCCTTCAAAAGAGCAAACATTAGAAAATAGTTCTTAAAAATGCATCTAACATCAGTCCACAATTAAAACATCCGAGGCTATGTAGATAAGAAGGTACAGTTTTCTTGAGAGAATTCACTATCAGAATTCAGGTCCAGCTCTACAAGTTCCAATTTTTAGTATTTTTCTACTGAAGGCATTTTACTGATAAAGCAAAAATCAAATCATCTGACACTCACGGAATAAAGAGAGAAGAACGAGGCCTGCCGTCATCCTAACGAAGTTCTGAATTCAATGGGATTACCCCATTTGAACCTTCTAGACCCCGTCTTCTACATCTGTCGCTTAATGTGACATTGTGAACACTGTTGCCAGGCCAAACTTGAGTCACCTTCACTGGAGACAGAAAACAGGTGATATGTTTGAATTTATAAAGTGGCCAACTTGTTAGCGTCAAATTCTAAATGAAGGGCCTTTATATGAGCAATTGAGTGGTATATGGAGAAAGAAAGGTTACGCAAGTCTTTCAATTTGTCAGCATTCCCAAACAATGTTTACATCTCAGTATAATGTTTACATCTCACCTACAAGCAATGAAATTTTTTTTAACCTCCATGGGGGAGATGGGGAGAGGGAGGGAAGATGGGAACTGAAATGATAACATCAGCTTGATTTCTCTAGGATGAGAGAATCTCAACTTCCTCTATGAGACAAATGTTCATTTGTCCTTTCTAGCCATTTAGTCTCTGACCTCAGCCCTCCCCGTAGGGCACATACAGATCAGATCTATGTGGATTTCCGCTTAGAAAGTATGTCTAAGGAGCTTCGTCATGCTGCTTAGCCTGACCCAGCACTGGTTGTTTTCAAAGAACCACATGAAAGGGCGTAAAGGAAGCACTGTGCAGTAAGAGAACCCACCTCCTGAATGCTGGGGAGTCACACAATTTTTCCTTCTTTCATTCATCTCTCCTAACAAATAGTCATTGAACTGTATGGTAGGCTCAGAGCCAACAAGTTCAAGGACAAAGTTCAGTTTCCAGATGGGATGATCCTTTTAATTTCCCAACTTTTTGCATTTTATGTTTACTTAGAGGGTGGATTATCTATTGGACATGCCCTTTCTCTTTTCCTTGTTTTAGGCTGAAAGAAGTATTTTGCCCTAACTCCAATGAAAGTAATTTGTCAGGTCTCCAAATACCTTCAGTGATTCCCAGTCTTTTCATACAGGTGAATAGAATAGACATATAAGATTACTTGCATTCATACTCTGTATAGCTTTGTTAAGTATGTTTGTTGTTGCCCTGGAAAGATTATTAAGTCACTTCAAAAATTTAAGTGTCAAAGTATAAAAACTTCCCTATTTCTCTTTTTAATTTCTGAGGCTTCCAGTAAAATATTTAAAAGGGGCTTAGTCAAGGGAGTCACTAAGAGGGTCAACCAACATAGATATCACAGCACCAAGGAATGAAAACTGCGGAAAAACGAGACCAGGATTCTGGTGACACCATTCACAATGACAGTCATTAGGGAGGAATAAAATCTTAGCAGTTGGTCAGTAGGGAGCGGGAACCCAAGCATTTTGTTTTTCTATGGTACTACCTGACCTACATGCAAGATATTTAAAAAAAAAAAAATCTATCTTGATTTTAAAAGTATTGGGGGGAGGAGGAGGCAGGAATGCGACTCAAATAGTAAAGTACAAGACCCTAAATTCAACCTCCATTTTCACATAGAACCTGGAGCACTGCTGGGTGTCAACCCCCCCCCCCACCTTATTATTATTATTTTTTTAGCTTAAAATCTTTGGCATGGGTTTGGGACGTTGGGGTAGTATAAGAATTTGAAAGAAAATCTTGTTCATCTGGGGGGAAATGAGGTTATATGATTGGCATGTATTACTACTACAAGATAATGAGCCATTATTAAAAAGCACAGCAGTCATTCCAAAGAGGCTGAAATGTTTACTTAAGAATGCTTTAGATCTGGCTCTCTGAGAAGCCCATCAAATAGTTATATAGTATATGTAGTACATATATCATGTACACCACATATATATGTATTTTTAAAATCTGCAGCCCATGCTCATTGCAACTTAAAGAGTCAGCAAAAGTGGGTATCCACTTAAGCTTTCCCTCACAAATTTTTGGATGAGTTATGATCTCAATATTTTTATCATTTAAATATTGTGTTAAAATGTAATTTGACCTTGGGACTCCTTTGTAGACTGAGAAAATAAACACATCTCTAGTACAAAATTCTATTTTCAATTCTTGACTACATAACTTAGCAAAGGACAAATGCAACCATTCCAATTTGGAAGCTGGAAAAATACTGATCAAGACTATGAGAAAGATAGTGGAAAACAGAGACCCCATTAGGAAACCCATAAAAGAAAATAGGAAGTAGTTTTCAGTCTCTAGAGAATCTGCTATCATCTAAGCCTCTTTTAAACTGAAGTAGCATCTGGCCTTGTGGATTTTGACCATCCATTGATTTAAACACAGAAGAGGTTTTGTTCTACCTTTAAAAGCACATCCTCTCCTCACCAGCACTCCTGTTCCCCAGGCTCCTGAACCAGTGATGGCTAAAACAAGAGTAGGGTTGTTTTCTTAGTGAAAATCCAGTGTTTATCTTGTCCTTTCTTTTTCAATTTCTGGTTTAGCTAACCTAACAACAAAACCTACACCGCTCCATGTTTTTACAGAGCTATAAAAAGTATAACGGTTGGTTCTCTGATGAACGTTATTATCTGTTCAAAAACAAAAAGTTATGACTGCTAGTCCCTTGAAATATTGTCAAATTATGGCTAAAATTATGAGATTCTAGAGTATGCTTCTAGAACAAAGTAAAAGGGTCAGAAAACATGGCTCAAGGGGAGTGTGCAAAGCTCTTGAAGAAGGGTAATCTCTAGTGTAGATAACAGCATATTTATTCCCTCAAATAAATCTCATGATTCTCTCCCACCACGCACCCCTCCCTCCTGTTTTTTGAAATGAAATACCTAATGCACTCATACTCAGAAATCAAAGAAATATTTTTTCGGTTCCGTTCAGACATAGGTATTATAAAGCAAGGCTTTTCCTACAGTAAACTGGCCTCACTATATTTTCATGATAAGATCATCCTGTCATCAGTTGGGCTATGATAAAAATATTTTGAATCAGCTTTCATAACTACTGATTTCCCTTTATAAAAGCAATCAAATTTTCAAACTACACAATTCCAAACATTTAGCTTCTTTGAATTTCTATTCTACACAAAATATATGTCTAAGAAAAAAAAATCTCCAGGAAAATAAAAAAGAAGTAACATCGCAGAATTTAATTCCAACCGCCTGGCAAAACAATGAGTGTCAGACCTTCTGAAACCGCCCTAGGGATAATGAACGGATTCTTAACGTTTTCCTCACCACCGCCCTTGAAGTTTTTTTTTTTTTTTTTTTTTTTTTGCTTTTCCAAGATCAGAACTTATTAATTAGGAAATCGGTTCTTGAAAAGATTTTTTTTGGAAAATTGGCCTACATTCAGAAATGTCTTAGAACAAGCATTTACAAAAACTAATAAATAAATCAAAATACATTAAAATAAAATTACAGTACATCATCGCTCCTAGGAGGTCCACCATACTGGGAAGTCCTTTCAGAGGTTCATAAATAAAGCCTTCTGGGTTCGCAACTGTTTTTCTGCACCGGGATGAAGAGAATGCGGGAAACTAAGAGGATTCGCCAGTTATTAGCCGGTGATCTACTTGATCTGCTGCGGGCGGGGAGGCTTTAGGTTTTCCATCCAAATGAAGACAACAGAAATGTGCTTGTCCCACTTGCTCAAGTACTCAAAACCTAGAAAGAAATGGCAGGGATTGAAGCCGGTGGCTCAGTCTTGGCAAGACTCTGTGCTCTCTCCAGGCCAGGTTTGAGGACCAAAGGCGCCCCGGGAAATCCGGGGACCACACCTCCCGGGCCAGGTGTGCAGGGACACTTAGAGGGCTGGAGCGCGCACCTCCAAACACCCACGGAAGGGTGGAGGAAATCGGTTAGGAAAAGAAGGAGGGAGGCAGAGTGTTAGGGTCCCGCCGCCCCCACCCATCCTTCCCTCCCTGCCCTGACTCCTCCCGGCCCGGCTGCGCTCCCCTCCATCCCAAAGCTCTGCAAACTTGCGGTGGTGTCTCATTTTCCCACTCCAGAGCCAAGTCCGTGAAGAGGCGTCCCACTCCCTCTCACACCCCCGCGCCCCCCACCCCTGCCCGGCCCTGAGGAGCCGCAGCAGAGGGGCGCTCACCTCGTCGGGCCCTGGTGCTGCCCCCTTTAGGCCGAGTTGGACGTGCTGCGCAGAAGCCGGTGGCCGTGCGGCTGCGAGACGGGCTGGGGATGCGGGTGCGGTAGTTGGTGCGGGTGCGCGTGTGGGTGCGGGTGCGAGTGCGGATGTGGATGTGGATGTGGATGAGGATGAGGATGAGGATGTGCGTACGGGTGGAGCGGCTGAGGCTTCGGCTGGGGCTGGAGCTGGGGCTGAGGCTGAGGCTGGGGCTGGGGCTGGGGCTGGGGCTGGGGCTGGGGCTGGGACAGGGGTTGGAGCTGGGGCTGAGGCTGGGGCTGGGGCTGGAGCTGCGGCTGCTGCGGCTGCTGCTGGACTAGATGTTGCTGCTTCTGCCGCGTAGACTTGACCGCCAGGATGGCCTGACGATTCTTGTACTGCACCATCTGTAGCGTGATCTCCGCGTTCCAGCCCTGGTCCTGCGGGCACCGAAAGTCGATCTCCTTCCCCTCGGCCATCACCACGGTGAAGTACATATACTTGCCCTTGCGCTCCACGCAGTCCACTGTCTTCATGTTAGAAAAGTGCAATTCCTTGAGCTTGACCGGCGGCTCCAGGCCGGTCACAGCCGGGCCTCCGGGCTGGGACGGCTCAGCTGGCCCCTGCGCGGGCTGTTGCTGCTGCTGTTGTAGCTGCTTGGGCGGGATGAGCAGCAGCCCTTCCTCGGTGAGGATGCAGCACTTTTTCTTCCAGAGCTGCAGCAACCCGTCGCTCCGTTTCTCCAGCACGCCCTCCTTCAGAGCCTTGCAGCCGCTGCTCTCCAACATCCTCCCGGCATAAGGGGTCCCGCCGCTCGCCTCGGTCTCTCCACTTCCAGCGGCCCGGGCCGGGGGCAGCAGCAGCAGCCGCGCGCCGTCCTCGCCCCAGCGACTCTCGCGGCCGCCGGCCCGGAGCGCGCAAAGGAGGCTAAAACGCAGGAGGCAGAGCGGCGGTGGCGGCAGCGCCGGGTCCGGACAGGGGGGTAGCCGCGTCCTCTTGCGCCACCAGGTCCGAGCGCCCGGAGTCACCGAGCCGCTGTCGTCTTCCTGCGAGCGCTCACCGAAGGGCACCGGGCCGGCCTCCTCGCAGCGCTTTTGAATGGGCCATCCTCCCCACCCCCGAGTGACACCCAGCGGAAAAGGCGGCTCCTGGCGCCCGCAGCGCGGGGGAAAGCCCAGCTCCGAAAGCCGCTCGGCAGCCCGAGCTCGCCTCATTAACTTGGGGCCCTTCCCCAGCCCCCCGCGTCCACGCCCCCCGCGTCCCTGGCTCCGCCTCTCGCCGCCCACTCGCTTCCGCGCTCCTTCCCGGGACGGTCGCGGGAACCCGAGCCCCGGAAACTCCTGGAGGATCGCCGTCGCCCAGCGGGCTCCGAGGGGGCCCTGCCCACCTCCCGCCTCTCCCTGGCCGGCGGGGCGCTCTGCTAACCACCGGGTAGATAATGAGGGGTCTGCCAGGCGGGGACCGCGGTTACGTGCCCGGGAATGCCACGCCGCCTCTGCGCTCCCAATTGCCGCGGAGCTCGGAGGTCCCCACCACGGGGGATCTTGAGGCCAAGATCTCGGGTGAGCAAAAAAGTCCGGGGTGGAGGCTCCTCGGCCTGGTAGCCCGGCAGAGGTGTGCTTCCCCGGACCCTAGTCAACTAACTTCTCAGCGCACAAAGGCCCGAGGTGTCTGGACGCTCAGTCTCTAGCAGCGGGAGCTGAGCAGGCGATTGTTAAAGCAATAGCGCTACCGTCTGACCCGTTTGGAAGGGACTGAAAAGTGACCCACTTCTGATGGCATCTTTGTTTTGTAACTGAAAATGCAGTCATTGGCCAGTCTTCACTGGGACACAAGCTCTCCAATTCCCTTTGACTCCTGTGTAAACAAGGTCTAACCAAAGTAACTGCATAAATCCGAGAAAGTCAGGTGCCGACCTCCACAGCCGAAGCACAGCTTGGCCTTCCAAATGGCAGGTGGGCCCCCGAGGGCCGGCTCCCTCTCTCCGGCTGCCTAAACAGGCCAGATGTTTGCCTCTTCTTCAGTTGTGACTTGGGGAAGCCCTTGAGAAGTTCTTTGATCCCTCCTACTCCCACACTAAAATATTTATATACTCTGGAGAACTACGCAGAATTACATCAGTAGGTGAGGAAACTAATTCACTTAGAGAACTTTAATTACCTACGAACCAAGATATATAGAATCACATAAAAATAAACCAGTAATAAAGTCAGTTGTCTGAGGTCAAAGGCAAAAAACTTGCAGGTAATGCCCAACGAAGTATGACTTGTCTGATGGCTTCCTATGACTGGAACAAAAAATCCAGGATAGGAAGTTGAGATGAGTGGAGAACTGAGCAGGAATCACATCCTTGTGTAGCAGACCAAGGAATTTGAACTTAATTCCAAGGTAACAGAGAATAAAAGGGTAAGTTTTAATGGGGGGGGGGGGGTCCCTAGTTGTCAAATGGGAGGATTCCAGCAGTCTTGAGGACACTGAATTGCACTTTGCAGCTTCCTAGGGACTTTGGGCATTGTTACTGAATTACTAGCCATTTAAGGAGAATGGCAATTGTGAAAATAATGCAACATTTTCTAGTAAGATTATGTAAGAAAAAAAAAAGTATAACCCTACACCAATGACACACCTAACATCCCAGTTCATTTCCAGTCTCTGTAGGACAAGTGGGCATTCCCAAGAATTTCTACATGATCAGCTGTTAAATTTTTAACCGAATGGCATTCTTCTGCTCATATGGAAAAGACCTCTAAGTCTATAATTTGGAAGTCTCTGAGAGCAGGCAAAGTTGGGAAAGCTTCATTGGGAAAGTTGGGAAAATCATGTGGAAAACTACAATACAAACTTGATTAATAATGTAAAATTAATTTGGAAGCTCAAGCCAGGAGATCAAGAAAAAAATGTGTTGGTGCATTCTAATATCTAGTTTTTATCAGGACACAGCACATTCTACTGTAAATTCACACATCACAAAATGTGAAGCAGCAGTCCAATTTTCAAAAGCACTTATATAACCAGAAATCCCAAACTTGGAATTTCCAGTGGCCATTTCACAACTTAGTGACTTTGTGAGCAGCTCCAAGTCTATGATGAGCTCTCTAGGAACACTTACTGGAAATCTCAATAATAAAGAAGCCTGGTAGATCAATGACAACTTTGTTTTTATTTAAAGTCACCACCAACTCACAAAAATAACCATACTGGCAATTGAAGACAAGTTAACAGAAAAGAAATTCAACAACTTCCCCTCATCTCCCAGAGATCCCCCCAAACTTTATTTACATGTGCTGCCTTGTTGATCCCTCAGTAATATCTGTACGCCGAAGACGCCCAGATTCACACCAATTTATATCCAATTGCTTGTTAACCAAAATAAAAAGACTTCCAAAGTTAAAATGTTACAATGAGGGCCAGAGAGATAGCTCAAGGAACCCAAGTGCATACTTTGCATAGGAGGCCTGGGTTTAGGTCTCCAATCACGTTTTATCACAGTCTGCAAGCCCAAGCACACCCTTGGGTACGGTCCAGGAAAAACAAAAACCCCCAACAATCAAAATATGGTATGTCAGAGTAGGGAACACAAACTGATGTTCATTAGGGTCAAAAGTTGGGACATTCTGTTAGGAACTGGGGTTCATAGAAATTTTTTTTAAGGCCCATACCCAGCATTCTCAGGCTCTGCACTAAGGAATTACTCCTGGTAGGTTCTGATAAACCATACCAGATAGATGCCAGGGATAGAACCTGGGTTGGCCACATACAGGGAAAATGCCCTACCCACTGTACTATTGCTTTGGCCTCAAGGTTCATACAAAATGTTGAAAACTAGCACCTTGAAGGGGGGAAAGACACATATTAACATGCCATTGGTTTAAATAAATCACTGCATTGAACTGGTACAGGCATTGAAGTCTGGTATAGTGAATTTCTTAAAAATAGCTTAGCTGGCTAGAATGGCTATAGTAAAATACCCTTCAGTTTTGGCATATTCCAGGTCAGGGCAAATTTTTCTTCACTATTTTCTCTCCTAGTTGGATACCTAATGGAGCATTCCCAAACTGATCCATTTTGACCTGTTCAATAAGCAGCCCCATTTTCAGTTAATGTTAACTTAAAATCTATTCTAGGTTCATTCTAAAACCTTGAAGCAGTACTAGCCTTACAACAGCCTAAACCTCCCTCATCCAGTCTTGACCTTTTGAATAAAATGTTAGGAGCTCATAACCAAATGACTATATTCCAGATTCTCAGTATTTCAAAGATCCTGCCTGAATGAAGTTGGTTATTCCAGGAAATGCATTCTCCTTGGCACTGAGCTATGGATGGACATGAAGGGACATAGGTGGAGGGTTAGATTCTGCTCCTAGTATCTGATGCTGGACTCCTAAGAATTTGAAATTCAAACTAGGCATTCGAAGTAATCATGTTTTGCAAGCGAAATAGAAGCAAGCTAATGGACATATTTCCACTAACAAAACTTATAAATATTAACCACTGATGTCATGGTTAATGGCAGTCATTATAGTACTGCCATATAAACAAAAGTTTAGAAGCACAACTATAAGTTTCTGCATTTCTGACACTTTATAAACTGAGCCTATGAGATTCCATCAGATTTTCAACTACATGTCACTGTCTCCCTACTTCACTATCATCTCCTCTGCATGACTGCAGTGGTTCTTCCATTTTTAGCACAGCAGTCTGGAAATTTCAAGTCTTTGTAACAAATGTCACCTCAACGTCACACTTAACTGTAAAACTACAGCCATCTACTTCTTAATGTCGCCCACAGCATATACTACCTGCATATGAATGGTATTTATATTAGCGGTCATGCCCACTTGCTTGTTTTTGGTCCTTCCCAACTATAATCTAAATCTAGAATCTTGTTCCTTAAGAGGATTAAGGATACAGGCTAGATAATACCTAAGCCTTTAATGCATGTTTGCCTTTCATGCTGCTGAGCCAACCAATCTCTGGTACCACATAATATCCTCAGCACTGTCAGGTGTGGTCCAATATCCCACCCCACCCCCGTCAAGGGGAGTTACGTATTTTGATGTGCCCCAACCAACTAATACAATTCTTATATAGTAAGGAGCTCAAATAAGACAATTCCTAGGTGTTTCAGAAGCTCTTATTGTTATTAAACCAGAGCTTCACATATTGAGGATATCCACTATACCACAGAACTGTATCATTCCCCTATCGGTCCCAGGATCAAGTGCTTTAGACAGGTATTTTGTTTGCTACTTGACAATTTTTTGAAACTGAAAAACTTCCCAAAAATCCCATACTACCAAAACCCACCATACTAATTATGTACTTGGTATAGGTTTTAAAAATGGCTAACCTTGGCACACAGCTAGACCCCTGTATCTTCGGTAAGATCAGAGATGCTAAAATCCTACTCTATAAGCCCTTTGAGCAACAAGCAACTTGACATTTTTATATAAATTACAATTCTATTCCAGTAATCAAAAGGACTAGCTCAACAATAATGGAACTGGATTGTTAGGAATTTTTCTTGGCACTTATGTATCTGCTATGCAAATCCAGTGATCATTACTAACTTGAAGACATATAACATTTAATAAACTTCCTAATTTGCAATACACAATAGAAACTCAACAATGCTTGTTACAAATGTGAAAACTAAGCTCAGATGTCTTTTAAGTTAAAAATCAAACTATAAAAATGTCAAGCTGAACTCAACTCAGCACATAGGATAATCAGATAGAGGTAGACATTTAGACTTCTTTAAAATTTTTCATCAGATAATCTTTTATTCTAGCTTCCAAGTTTAAATATTAACTGCAGTTGACTACTACTGCCTAGACTTATCTTTTTGCTTTACTAGTTGATGAGCTGATGCCTCCTAGTGATCACTATGTGTAATAGCTTAGAGCAAGTCAAAGAACAGTAAAGGGTATCCTACGTACTATTTTTGAACTCTTATAGGGCAGATTCAACTCAATAGGATGTCAGCACAGGGAGGTGGGGTGCAGACCCCAAAACATAAGAGAAATAAAGGAACTATTAGTAGACTAAGACAATCAGCCATACATCTGTCTCTATTTGTCAATAGTCAAACTCCTTTTCCACCTAGATTTTTCTGATAGCCTAACCACTTGGTACCAGTTTTATTCCTAAAACGTCAATTTTCAACTGCCTAAGTCAAGAAAACACCAACTCCATACCTTCTTCAGTCATACTTGCCTTTACAGTGTAAAATCTCCATTCAGCTTGCATTTTTGCAGTCCCAAACCATCTTGTCCTTTAAAGTTCAAATGTGACCTCTAATTTTCTTTTGCTAAATTAGTCACGTTCCATTCTAAATCAGATCAGTAGTTAAAATAAATCTTAAGAGGACAGTGTGCTAATTCACATATTAGATCATAATAGGAAACCAAGTACTGACACCAGCTACTTATAGCTGGAAACTTAGTATTCTTACACAATATGAGGCAGGCAAACTGAATAAAGTGAGCTCAGAAACTCAGTAATATAGAAATATGTAAGCTTTAAGTAAAAAAAATGAAAATGAGGGTTTGAGAGATGGTAGAGGCTAAGGCACTTGACTAGCGAAGTCTTAATACCTGGCTTTGCATATAGTTCTCCAAGCAGAATCTGGAATGATCTCTAGGATGACCACAGCCAGGTGTGTACCCTGTCCCATAGCCTTTCCAGTCTCAGCCCCAACACACACACACACGTGCGTGTGCGCACACTCAAAGAAATGAAGAAGTTTGGTTTTTATTTTTACCCCAAATTCAAAACACAGGAGACACATTTATCAGGGAAAAGATAATCCTTGAAAGTCATAGTTAAGAAGAGTAAAATGGAGACAAAAATGCTACTAATCATAAAGTACTGATACTGACTTCTAGACCTTCAGGAGTGGGCAGAAAGACATACCAGGTATTAAGAGATGGCAGTGGAAGTACCACAGAACTTAGCTTTTTAATGTCTTATCTTGCTCCCTGAATTCCCTGATTCCCTCTGCTCCCCACCCAAGTTTTGCCTCACCCAGTTTAATATCCCACAAATAAGAATCCATACCTTCCTTCTTTCATTAAAATTGTGCAAAAGGACCAGTGATAGTAGAGTGGATAGGGCACTTGCCTTTCATGTGGCCAACTAGCATCTCATATTGTGCTCTGAGCACCTCTCCAGGAGTATCCCCGAAAGAAAACTCCCGATCCCCAAACAAACAAAAAACCCAAATCTTGGAGCTTGTGACCAACTTATTGCCAAGTGGATTATATAATGATGACTTTCCTGAATAGGTCATAAAAAGGTAATTCCGCCGACTAGTTCTTCAAACTCTTCTCCATGTTCTGTAAGTCCACATCAAAGTGAAAGTTTGGTCACAACCCATGTGAGTTCTGACCAAGTGTCTAACACCAATAAAGCCCCTTCAGATGATTCCTATCTTACAAGCTGAATCCTCAGTTGGGCAGTTACGCCCAAGCCTACAAAACTCAGTTCCGGGAGTGGTTTTGTAATGTCGTATTTACAAAACATTTTCTATATTGTCTTAATCCAGTATTGATTTTTTCTTACTTAAATAATGTAGGAATGGGTATTCACAGTGAGTATGCCTATATTCACTGTGAAGATAACTAAAAAAGTCACTTACCTTGCTATATGTCCCCACACCGTATGATTAGCAAACAAACTGGAGGTTCAGAAAATCCTGCTTAACCTATAAATGCAAAAATCTGCCAAGTATCCTTCATCTTTCAGACCCAATATTTGAAGTTAAGCTATCTGATAGTAAGCTTCCCTAACATACTACTGAATAAAAAGAACAAGGTCAAAAGTGAACCAAAAGGTAGTTACCAAAAGCTGCTAAACTGAACTAATGACATGCACGTAAGTGCACGTTCAGATGCAAGGGAGATGGCTCAGAACAATATTCTCACAATAGCTATGGGTTCTATCTCGGGCACTCCCTTGATCCTCAGTATCACTAGGTATGGCTTCAAAAACTAATAATTTTCTAAGTCTTTTTTTTCTTTTTAGGAAGTAAAAAAATAGGTATCTGTTGCTCAAAAGATTCTAGCTCTGATGGTGGATAGTTCATTGGTCTAAGTGCTTAACTTGCATGTAGGAGGCCAGGGCTCCATCTTTGGCACTGCACGGTATACCAAGCACTTATAATAAATGCAGAACACAAAGTTAGGAATAGCCCCCAAACATCACAAATTTGCCTCCAAACACCCCCCTTACCCCACCCACGACACACACACAGTATCTAGGCTCTATGACTTTGATATCAAGTCAACAGAAAAACCAGGCCCCCTGATTTTGAAACATATGAAAATCTAAAATTACACCTGAGGCCAGGGAGAGAGTTCAACTAAATTATGAGCAGATATTTTTGAAAGGTTTTGCATGGAATCCCTAGGTTCAATCCCCTGTGCCACATAGTGCCATAAATACTACCAAGAGTAGCCCTACAACAAACACAAAAATTTTAAAATAAAATAACAACTGCTCAAGACAAACACCTATCTCACTGCCTAACATCCAAGGACTCATTCAAATAATTAGGGATTGGAAAAGATGTAATAAGTAATAATTTAAAATACAGTAAGACTTAGGCTGGAGAAGTAATATAGGTACTTGCCTTACATCCAGCATCATATCCCGAGCACCAGAGGGTATGGTGCCCTCCAAATAATGGACTCAGCTCTAGAGACAGGGGAGGAGGGAAGGCACTTGCCATGCATGAGACAGATCCTGGTATGAATCCCTGGTACCACATATGTACCACATATGGTCTCCAGAGTACCACCAGGGGTCACCCCAAAAGTAAAAAATAAAAAAAGACTTCATTTAGTTTTATACATCACTTTGACATTCAGCAAATCAGCATATGACAACATGCATTTCTAATAAAATATACATTTAAAAAATAATTTTTACTTTAACTTTTTGGGGGCATACCAGTAATATGCAGAAAAATACATGGTACCAGGGTTAGTGGAATATAAGGCAAGCACCTTAAAATCCCTGTACTATCTCTCTGGCCCCAAATTATGTTTGAAAAATAGCTGGCTTTTCAAAACCTAGTTGACAATGGGTAAACGAGGCAAATATTTTTGTTTTAAAAAATTAAAATAATTTCAAAATTGGGCATACTCACTTATTACCCAATATAAAAATTAATCCATTGTACTTAACTTTGTGCTGCCAATACAATACTTCTAGATTTTAGTTTCTTATTTTATACTTAAAAATTAGTTAAGACCTTGATTTCCCACCCCAATGGAAAAATCTATTATATATTTTTTAAAAAATATACAAAGTATACTGTGTTTTAAAAAATATAATTAGCCAACACAGCAATTAAAGTTAATATGAATCATACACTTATCTTTAAAGTTCATACTAAAACAAACATGCTTCCATCTTCTGAACTCACTGGTCCTAAGAACTGTCTTACTGTAAGGTTGTATTTTTCCTGGATTTCTAAAACCAGTATACAAAATCACCAGTAAACACCTAGTCAATCTCACCATTATCATTTACATTTAACTTTTCAGGTAATAAGAGATTTAGTACTTTAGTAAATTACCTAAATTATGAACGCATATTTTCAAAACAAAATCCACTTCACGAATATCAAGTATATACTGTATATATATGTAAATATACACAATGCATAAGGTTTTAAAAGAAAAATTAAATTGGCATATGGGTTAAAATTGCTGTACTGTAGAACATATGCTGCTTCTTCTGAAGTATCTAGTTATTATATACATTGGAAATAGTCCAGAAAATAAAGGCTACAATTTTTCTAACTCATAAAAATGGACTCATTCTGTATCAAGCATTGAAAAACTGAAGATTAAACAGTTTAATATTCTGCATGGTACGATTAAGATTTTCACAAACAAAAATACAAAGTGTTATCTTTATTTTTAGTAATGGGAATGAACTCAATGAAATGGAATCAAAGCCACAAATATCTTCCAAGCAGCAGTAATATACAGTTAATTCTTATCACGGGGCCTTATCATAACCATTTAAAATCATTTAACTATTTACAGAATAATGAAAATATTTTTATTAAAGCTCTAGTTTCCTTCTAGGTTATTCTGTGAACTTAAAATGGAGGTAGAATCCCATTTTTTAAAGTACCATTTCTATAAGCCAATTCCAGACAACTTTCATGTGATATAAATACCAATACTATTTCAGTGGACCAGATAAAGTAATTGAGAAAGTAGATATAATTTTCAACATCCATATCAACTAAAAGACCAATTGATTTTTAGAACTGTTCTTTGTTAACTTATACTACTTATGTGGTTATTAAAAGATAGATTAAATTTTTTCCAAAGCATTATTTCATATGAATTTTTACCATTTCTAAAGAGAAAATAAACTAGGGAACTTGAGCCAGTGCCCAGGCTGGAACAAACCTGAGAAATAAACAAAATCTAAAAAATGTCTGTAATTTACTCAAGTAGAACCTGTAAAAACTGGAGTATCTTCTAATTTTCTACTTAAAAGTTGTATCACTTTACTAATTTACAGGCCATTGTGGCCTATGCATGGAACATCCTACTCTAAGCATCTCTACTCTGTAGTTATAAAAAAAAATTTTAGATTTTTTTTTAAAAAACACCCAGAATGTCACTAGTACATTTTATAAAATTAAATGCAAATTTTATTAAGGATTTCAAATTACAGCATTTCAAAAGTCTAGAATGGAAAAAAAAATTTATGAATGAGAAATGGCATAAACACTGATACTCTTGAACACCTTTATTAAGAAAACAAATCCTCTGCAAACCACAAACCCTTTAGATAACAAAATGAAATCCTATCTACCTTCACTTTGGCAACAGCTACTTCCTAAAAGAAGGGGGGGTGGAAAGGGTAGTGGTTTCTGCTAATTCTTTTAAGTTCACAAAAATGGGATTCTATCTTTAGTCAAACAGTTTAAAGTTCAGAAAAAAAGTTGCATTATATGAGTGATGAGTAACCCCCCGCCACCCCACCCAGTCAGCAAAGATATCGGAACCAAAGCAACCAAAGTTATTTTGAAAATAAAGAGGAAAAACATGAGGTGTGTTCATGGTGTCTTATCCCCTACAGACTTTTAATTGGTTAAGGATTTCCAGTAGTTAAAAATTTCAGAAGAATGGATAGTACCATGCAAACAGCAAAACACATTCATACTTCAAAATTAAATGTGCCAAAATGCAACCCAAATGTCTAAAAATGACCCCAGTATAATTTTGTTAAGGGCAGGAACTCTAAACTTTCCAATTATAATCCAGTTAGCCCATATTAATAAAATTCACCACCAAAAAATTAACAGTAATTAGCCTGAGGTATTTTAAACGTGGCCCTACAGTCTAAAATTTAATGGCAATTTTTCATTTCTAAAATTTAACTTATTTCTACTTTAGTTCCATGGTCTTCATAGGATTTACCACAATATGGCCATAACTACAATACCTGAAAACAATCACTGGGCGTTCACTCACTCACGCATTCTTTTCTATTGAAAAAGGAGCCACACACAAAGATCTAAAAGTGTTGCCTGGCCAGAACCACCTTTTAAGTACTCACTGAACATTTGTTTTCCAGTTTGATTAGCCCTGGTATGAATAATATGCTAAAGATCATACTTGTGGCACAAACAGATCCAAAATTTTAAGCTTTTAATAAGAATGAAGAACATTTCATAAAATTTTAACTAATAATGTTTAACACATCTGTGAGGTAGTTAAGTGAACAGTACTACCCATTTTAATACATAGATAACAGAAACATGGGTAAATGACACACTCATACTTTAAGCAATAAAACTTGGAATTAATCAAAGGCTTGGGGCCATCTCTCTAGTTCTAATCAAAGAAAATAAAATTTAGCTTTAATCGTTGAGAAAAAAATCTACATTTAAAAATGCTTTTGTCTTTCATTTTTAGTTTCTTATTAGATGTAGTACTTCTTCCCAAGTCAGCACCCTTTTTTTTAGCAGTATGATAAACTGGGAACAAAGTTTAGTTTTAGCTAGCTCTTGCTTCTACCTGAATTAGTACAAAATTAAGACATTATCTTGTGAGAACTAAAATTATATTTGACATTTTTATTTTAAGCTGGAAAAACATAAACAAGTAAACAAACAACAACAAAAAAAACTTGAATAGGCTTGTCAAATGATGTAAATTCATCCTTTCCAGGGAAGCAGAAGGTAGACCCTACCACAAAGAAGAGATGCTTATTAATGGAGGTTAAATTTGAAAGTACAGTTAAAATAATGAGTGAGACTAACTTCTGAAAATACTAGGCTTTATTCGTCTCACTATGATAACCAAAACTAGACTATGAAATTAGACTTCTTTACAATTAACAATGTTATCTCCAACACAAAAATCCATGAATAACCCTAAGTAACTGAGAGTGGTGTTACTGGAAATTCTTAACCACACACTTGTCTGGCCAAGCCCCGCCTCCCCCATCCCCATGATGAATAGTCTTAGTAAAGTCACTATATTTCTATAACAAAGTAATGAAAGGCACAGGTAATGCAAGCAAACTTAAAATCCATTCAACTACTCCAGCTGAATAAAATATTTTGGTTCCTGTGGTGAAAAAAATTGTAAATCAAAAAAAAATGCTCTATTTGGGGGCTGGAGAGACAGTCTTCATTTTTATAGCTGCTAAGTAACAGCTACAGGTTTAAAATACTCTGAAAGAACCAAATTATGTAGCAATGGATGAACATGCTTGAGAGAATCTGTGCCTTCAATGTATTTGGCAGAGGAATCATAGTCAAAATGCTAAGTAGAACAAACTGATCTTTAAAATATCAGTTCCTCTCCTTAAAAAAAATTACGGAGTCTACTAAGAAAATACAAAAACATAAGGCTGTAAGTAAATAATGGTTGTATTTAGGTTATTACAGTGCAGGTTATCCTCAAGGCCACACACATCATGCTTCACTGCTGCTTGCATTCTGCTGGGTTTTGATCCTTCTGTTAAAAGAAAACAGGAAATCAATCTACCTTTTTCTACCTGCTTCAAATAGTTTTTTGTAGTAAATCTTAATTACCATATCATCTCACTGTTCTGTCAAAGTTTTTGCCAAATTAAAGAATAGTATATAGTAATGATCGTTCACCCAAATATCAGTATATCAGCAAAGCTAGTACAAAGTCCCTATTTTATATTGTAGACTTAACACTATAAAACACATTCTTAATGAAGGCAAAATGCTGTAATCTTAATAAAATAACCAATGTGTTAGTTACTATCGATTATTCTGTTCAAAATTAGTTATTCAAAATATTAATTCCGTTTATAATTAGCTATTAATGTAATTAACATCTGTAAGAATTAAACTAGTGAGCCGGAGTGATAAGTACAGTGGGTAGGACATTTGCCTTGCATGTGACTGACCCGGTTTCAATCCCTGACATCTCATATGGTCATGAGTCTACCCAGGAGTGAACCCTGAACAGAGCCAGAAGCCCTGAGCATTGCTGATGGCCCCCGAACAGAATCACCACCACAATACACCACCCCCCGCAAAAAAAGTCAAACAAAGAATTTCTAACTATCCTCTCCTATCTGTGTCCCAGATTATATCTTCTAAGTAATTACTGCAGTCTATAGCAAATGAATTAAAAAGAAATACATTTTAAATGAATTCTGATAATTTTCATTATTCTGTGGCTAACAAAGTTATTAACCCCAATGTGGCAAATTCCCAGGAAAGGAACTGGAAGGGAACGGAGAGGCTGAAAAATATTCCAAAGACAGCACTGTTCCCCTCCTTCAGCACTCAATTAAAAACTGTCCATTTGTAAGCTTTCCTTTGAAGGAAAAACCACCTGAGAATAAAAGCAACAATTTATAGTATTTCTTTTGGATTTTCTTTTAAACAGTTTCCCAAATAATTTAAAATATTTCTAAAATTTGTTTAGAATTTTTTTCCCACAACTTGCTTTTTAAAAAATGCTCAAGGTAGTATGTGATAGAGTAGAATCATAGGGATTAAGTTTGTAAAATACCATGTCAGAAACAAAAACTTTTAAGTGTCTCAAGAAAGGCCCATTAGTTACATGCATTTGTTAAGATACCAGAGGAAAATGGAAACAAAAAATTATCTAACCAATGTGTTTTGTTAAAACCATTTGAACAAACAGAAAATAGCACTAATTTTGCTCACCTTTGAGTCATAGTCTGGATCATTTTCCTCATCTCCTTCTTCTTCCCCTTCCTATATTAAAGTTCAAAATGCATCCATGAAGTAGGTACAGAGTATGCAGAAATGGCTCATAATGTAGGGAGAATTTAATACAATTTACACTACAGATCAACAGACTTTCATGATTACAGAGTTTGGTGACAATGCAATTTAATTTGAAAGCTTCTAATATGAAAAATTTCCCAACACAACTTGAGACATCCAGAGAGCTTTTATTGAAAAGATTTACTGCAGCCAACGTTGAAAAAGTTTACTGCAGCTTTTGACTTCTTCAAAGAGCTGATAACCCTGCAGCAGAACAGAATTATTTGAAATAAAAAAAAGTTCTGAGTTTTGCAATTTATTTATTGAAACCTTATACATACATTGTTTGGCTGTAGAATACTAAAGTTTTTTTTCCAAAAGCATCTTTATCCTCTACCACAGAAAGGTTATGGCAAAGAAATACACAAATTACTCAATGTATTTCTCAATTGTTAAACAGAATGATTTGCTCATTTGGTAAACATTACCTCATCTGCTTCTTCACCTTCTTCATCATACTATAAAAGGGAAAAAAAAATAAGAGTTTGAATAAATCTAACAAACATCTAAGAAGAGCATTAGTTATATCAATCACTATATCCACTAATTTCTAAAGAGAAGAAACATACTTTTCTCTAAGGTTAATGATTATGAAAACAAGGGCAACAAACTACAGAAATCATTCAGTGCCATTATCTAACAGACAAAATAAATAATTAAATGAATGAAGGATCCAGTACAAATTTGGATAAGTTGAGGTAAGGCAATTATAACTAGACTTATTACTTGTACAGTATATGTAAAACACATAGCACAAAAACAGAACCTAAAGCCTTTTTGTGTATCTCCATTCAGCAATAAAGATTTAATCCAAATCATTTGAGATTAACTCAATAATTATTTAATATTCCTTTGTTTAAAGGTGGATACCTCCCAATAAACATTTTTTAGTACTCAAAAGCATTTCAAGTATATTTTGTCTACTCAGAGACACAAACATAAAAAAAAAAATCTATAAACTGACCAAGCATAGTTTCTCAAAATCCTACAAAAAATAGCTGTAGGAAAAAAAAACAAATCTCCAACATTCTAACAGTACTTAAAAGGAATCAAAAAAGTTATCTAAATAGTAGCAATGATGATATATATTATGGTAAAGCATGATATGGTCAACCTTTTTTATACCTGCAGATAGGTCTGTGAACCGGTGGTTAAAAACCAGTGATCTATAATCTAGTTTCTTAAACAATGGGTTATGACCCCCAAATGCCAGTTCAAACTAAATATAAGCGTAAAAAAAAAAATCTAGCAAAAGGAAAAGGTTTTGAATACAAGATGACCAAAAATTCCAAGTAAGGCGTCCTCTAGGACCCTGGGACGACAGCATCCCTGAGCCTCTTCCTCTTCATCCGTGTCCCCCCCCAACGCTGTGCCGGATTTCTTCCGCTCCCAACACACACACACACACACACACACACACACACCAGGTACAGGTGGGGGCATGGTCTTTTCAGAAGTGGGCGTGGTTTCTGTAGAAGTGGGTGTGACCTAATTTTAGGTGGGCCAGCACTCATGAGGCCTCAGGTAGTTTGGTCATACACAGAAATCTAGTTTAACATCTTAGTCCCCATACCTCCACTCTTAAATGTATATGCACGTAAGGAGGGAACAGCTACATATTTAAAATAACTGCTAACAGATTTTAAGGAGGACATTTCTAGCAACACTATAGTAGCTGGAGACTTCAATATGGCCTTATCACCTCTAGATAGCTCAACAGAAACAAAACTCAGCAAGGAAACATTGGCTTTGGAAGAAGAAATAGAAGAGAGCTTATAGACTTATACAGGGCTTTACACCCCCAAAAGAAAAGAATACACATTCTTCTCCAGTGTGCACAGAACATTTTCCAAAACAGACCATGTGCTAGGCCACAAAACATACCTCAACAGAATCAGGAAGATAGAAATAGTATCAACAATCTTTTCAGACCACAAAGCACTGAGGATAGAAGTGAATCACAAACAAATCAAACACCTGGAAATTAAACAACTCAAATGTTGAAAAATGAGTGGGTCAGGAAAGAAGTCAAGAACAAAATCAAAAGATATATTGAAGCAAATGAGAATGAAGACACGAGCTACCAGAACCTATGGGAATGCAGCTAAAGCTGCGTTAAGGGGAAAATTTATAGCTCTGCAAGCATTTTTCAGGAAGGAAGGGCCCACATTAACAACCTGACTTCACAACTCAAGATCTTAGAAAAGGATCAACAAGGAGCCCAAATCAGGCAGAAGGAAAGAGATCCTAAAACTTACAGCAGAAATCAACGACATGGAAACCAAAAAAACAATCCGAAAGATCAATGAAACCAAGAGCTGTTTCTTCAAGAAAATAAGATAAATAAACCACTAGCAAGACTCACAAAGAGAGAGACAGAACCCTAATAAACCGAATCAGAAATGAGAAGGGGGATATCACAACAGAAACCAAAGAAATTCAAAAGATCATCAGAAACTACTTTAAAAGTCTGTATGCCATGAAACAAGAGAACCTAGAAGAAATGGATAAATTCCTGGACTCCAATAATCTCCCAAAGCTGAATCAAGAAGATATAGAGTACCTGAATAAACCTATTCACATCAAGGAAATTGAAACTGTAATCAAAAGTCTTCCCAAAAACAAAAGCCCAGGTCCTGATGGATTTACTAGCGAATTTTTCCAAACATTTAAAGAGGACCTACTGCCAGTTCTTCTCAAGCTTTTCCAGGAAATTGAAGCAACAGAAACTCTCCCAAACAGTTTCTATGAAGCCCATATCACTCTAATACCAAAAGGAAACTAAGACACCACAAGAAAAGAAAACTACAGGCCAATATCACTGATGAACACGGATGCGAAGATCCTCACCAAAATACTAGCAAATAGAATTCAACAATGTCCTCCTGTTGTTCATCAATTCGCTCCAGTGAGCCCAGTAACGTCTCCATTTTGAGACTTGTTGTGTTTGGCATATTGAATACCTCACGGGTAGCTTGCCAGGCTTTGCCGTGCGGGCAAGATACTCTTGGTAGTTTGCTAGGCTCTTGGAGAGAGGGGCGGAGAAATCACACCCGGCTCAGCTGGATGGCTGCACGCAAGGCAAATGCCCTATTGCTTTGCTATCGCTCCAGCCCATCCGTGATCGTATAGAGGTTATAATTCAACAACTCATCAAAAAGATCATACACCATGACCAAGTGGGATTCATCCCAGTGACTGAAGGATGGTTTAACACTGGGAAATCAATCAACATAATCCATCATATCAACAAAAGAAAAGATAAAAACCATATGATCATTATCAATAGATGCAGAGAAGGCATTTCACAAGATCCAGCATCTGTTTATGATGAGAAGTCTCGCCAAAATGGATATGTAGGGGACTTTCCTCAATGTAGTTGAAGCCATCTACCATAAGCCTCCAACAAACATCATCCTCAACTGGGAAAAACTGAGAGCCTTTCCTTTAAGATCAGGGACAAGACAAGGATGCCCACTCTCTCCACTGCTGTTCAATAGTACTGGAAGCAATTGCAATAGCGGTTAGGCAAGAAAAAGATATTAAGGGCATCCATGTAGGAAAGGAAGAAATCAAGCTCTCACTTTGCAGATGATATGATACCATACTTAGAGAACCCTATAACCTCTACCAAGAATCTTCTAGAAACAATAAACTTGCATAGTAAAGTTGCAGGCTATAAAATCAATACCCAAAAGTCCATGGCTCTCCTATACGCAAATAGTGAGAGAAGAAAGTGACACAAAAAAAAAACAATCCCGTTCACCATTGTGCTCCAGAAATCAAGTACCTAGGAATCAGCCTAACTAAGGAAGTAAAGGACCTGTACAAAGAAAACTACAAAATGCTACTTCAGGAAATAAAAGAGGACATGAGAAAATGGAAAGATATCCCCTACTCATGGATCAGGAGAATTAACATTGTCATAATGGCAATACTTCCCAAAGAATTGTACAAATTCAATGCAATCCCTGTAACGATACCCATGACATTCTTTAAAAAAAAAAAAAAGGAGCAAACACTCCTGAAATTCATATGGAACAATAAACCCCCAAAAATAGCTAAAGCAATTCTTGGGGAAAAGAAAATGGCAGTAATCAACCTCCCTAACTTCAAACTCAACTACAAAGCAGTAATAATTAAAACAGCATGGAACAAAGGCAGAACTACAGTCCAATGGAACAGGGTTGAATATACTGATATCTCCCCCCAAACATATGATCATCTCATCTTTGTTTGATAAGCGAGCAAGAAAGGAGAAGTGGAGCAAGAAAAGCCTCTTAAACAAACAGTGCTGGCAAAACTGGACAGCTACATGCAAAAAAAGGGCTAGATCTCTGCCTAACACCATGTACAAAGGTCAGATCAAGATGGATTAAAGACCTCAACATCAGACCAGAATCCATAAGGTACATTGAAGACAAAATTGGCAGAACCCTCCATGACAATGAAGCTAACGGTATCTTCAAAGATGTCACACCACTGGCCAAGCAAGTGAAAACAGAGATAGACAAATGGGACTATCTTAATCTAAGAAGCTTCTTCACCTCAAAAGAAACCGTGACCAAAATACAAAGACAGTCTACAGAATGGCAAAGGGTATTCGCCAAATACACATCCGACAAGGGGTTGCTATCAAGGATATACAAAGTAATGGTTGAACTCTTCAAGAAGAAAACATCCAACCTCATCAAAAAATAGGGCAATGAAATGAACAGAAACTTTCTCAACATGAGTGCTCGAGAACAGATGACTGGTTAAAGATGGAGTACTGGTACATCTACACAATGGAGTACTATGTAGCTGTTAGAAAAGATGAAGTCATGAAATTTACATACAAGTAGTACTACATGGAAAGTATCATGCTAAGCAAAATGAGTCAGAAAGAGAGGGACAGACATAGGAAGATTACATTTGTCTGGGGAACATCAAGAAACAAAATAGGAGACTAACACCCAAGAATAGCTGAGATAAGTACCAGGAGGTTTACTCCATGGCTTGGAGGCCAGCCACACATGCTAGGGGAAAAGGCAGCTCAGATAGAGAAGGGAGCACCAAATAAAGGGTGTTGGGAGGATTCTCCCAGGAAGGGAGATGCATGCTGAAAGTAGACTATAGATTGAACATGATTGGCAATCAATGCCTCTTTTGCAAAACACAGCATTCAAACGGAGAAAGAGAACAAAAGGGAATATTCTGCCACAGAGGCAGGGTGGGATGTGGGGAATGGGGGTGGCAGGGATACTGGGATCAGGGGTGGTGGAGAATGGGCACTGGTGGAGGGATCATTATATAACTGAAACCCAAGCACAAAAATTTGTAAGTCTACAATTGTATCTCATGGTGTTTCACTAATAAAAAATTTTTAAAAAAATCCAAATAAACTACCTGGCAAATTTGAAGTTTCCATGATGCGTTTCTAAGACTAAAAGTGATTTTAAGTGAAAAAGTTTAATAATACACACAGGACAGAAAAAAAAAATAAATCTCTCAACAATTGTGACTTTCATACCCTCACCAATTAACTTTCAGTGTAGAATTCAGAATACTCACATCATCATCATCATCTTCAATGGCTTCTCCAGTAAAGTATAACACTGATCTTGGAATTATACGCTCACGTAAAAAGTGACCAATTTCAAAGTCTGCAGCAAGGATAGCTTCAGCATCATCATCCTGATTTTTTTAAAGGTTAACACACAAAATTAGATAATTTTGTCACTTAATTTAGCATATGCAAGACTCGCTGTTAAATAATATAGAAACATTTAACTATAATTTTGACATTTAGCATATACACGATTAAGCAGTCTTATACACATATATATAAACTTCACAATAATTTATTAGGCTAGTCAAGTTTTACTTACAAACCAGAAACAAAAATTCTAACTACTGCTTTTTTCTTTAATTCTGTTTTTGCTTTTTTGGGTCACACCTGGCGATGCTCAGGGCTTACTCCTGGCTTTGCGCTCAGGAATTTCTCCTGGCAGTGCTCAGGGGACCATATGGGATGCTGGGAATCGAACCTGGGACGGCCGTATGCAAGACAAACAACCTACCCGCTGTGCTATTGCTCCATCCCTACTGCTTTGTTTTTTTCTGGCTCACAGGTAAAATAACTTTAGACAGCTAGAATTTTCCTTTAAAAATACTGAAAACGCTAAATAAAATATAGTAAAAAAAAAAAGGCTTTTAAAAATGAAAATCACATTTTGAGTTAAATGAGTTTTAACTTTAGGCAGAAATATTTGGCAGATCTGGTATGAACCAAAATTATTACAAATTAAAAATTGAAAATAAGCAGAAATTTAAATTTTACACATATAGAAATCTAAACTACCTTAATTATTTAAACCCTGGTCACCAGAAAACTTAACAAAAAATTCAAAACACACCCATCCTCGCCTCTCATTATCTGTATTGCAAACCATAATACCCATAAGCAGAGAGATTTTAAGAGGAAAATTGTCTGCCATAGAGAGGAGGGAGAGGTGAAAAGGTAGGAGGGGAGATACTGTAGACATTGGTGGTGGAAAATGTACACTGGTGGAGAGTTAGTTGTGAGATCATTGTATGACTGAAACTTAAAACAAGAAAGTTCTGTAACTGTAGCTCACGGTAATTCAATTTAAAAAAAAAGCAACACCACCCATTCTACCCTGCCTCCCTGTATAGATGGGTTGTTTCTAATTTATACAGGAAATTTTTAGGCTGTATGCCAAGGACATTTCTTCATTATTGACTATATGGTCACATATGTAGTAGCAATATAAAACTGTAGTCTGTTGGAATTACAGCAAATAGCATAAATTATTTTGTACATTCTAATTTAAGGAAAAAACATTACGATGCTGAATCCCTCACTGAATTCTTTAAGTCTCAAGAAAAAAGAAAATCTTTAGCTTCTCAGAACTTAATACTTTGAAAGCTTTGAACTTAAACTAAATAATTTTCAAATGTACATAGCTTCCCATGCACTGCAAACCTCAGAACAAAAGGCCTGCTGTAAATAATCCATTCCCCACTTTTGAAAATATAATAAATCAATTCATCTTACCAGATCTCCACTCTCAGGAACTGTAAAATTGAGGAGAAAAAAATTATAATTAATATAAAATTAAACATAGCTTATAATAAAACAAGCATCAATACCCACGCCAACAAAATACTATTTACCTTCAGGAGGAGCAAAGAAATTAAAGAAAGAATCATTGGAAACTGTTTTGGTCACAGTACGAACTGTTCCGCGTCCCTTGTGTTTCTGCTTCTTTTTAATGGTTTTCAAAGTGACATTCTTTCCTTTTTTCCAATCTATCTGGCACCTTCGAATGTAAAGGAGAAGATCTTCAGCACATTACTTTCAATAATTAGGGAGCTACATTTTTTTCTAAAGAATGTTATATGTAGAGGAGAACTTGAACTGCTATCTGCAAAAGTACAAAAAAAAAAGTTTTGCTGCCATTTTTGGCTTTGGGGCCATTACAGTGTCAGTACCAACTCCTAGCTCTCTATCCAGGGATCAACCTGGTGATTCAGGGGACCAAATGACGTGCCAGGAATTGAACCACACGCACATCAAGTGCCCTACCCACTGTATCATCTCTCCAGGCCCCAATTTTAACTTCTCAGATTACTTCCCCAAAATACATAAACAATTAGTATTATCAATTTAAAATGTGCACCCCAAGGGAAGAGTATCTGCATCAAGTCAATGAGTCAGGGTAACCCTAGGAAAGTAGGTATGTTCTCGGAACATGTAACTGATTATTGAGAGATAAGGTAGATATTTAGATAACATGTGTAATACACCAAGTGCACAGAAGAGAAAATATAGAGTATCATAAAATAAAATACAAATTTAACATTCTGTTAAAGTAGTAAAATTTAAACTCACCCTGTACAACCCATAATTTCTGGTCCATCAAAAGAAAAAGGATCAGAATCATCTGGTTCTGATCTCATCCGATATGTCTTTGTCAATACTTCATTTGTGAAATATTCATTGGGTTCAAAGTGAAATTCTAAGACAAAACTCTTAAAAAAGGAAAAATAAATTAAATTCCTATACCACAAGTTTCAGTATTCTGCTAAAGCATAATTTATGATTCTCATAAATATAAAATTCTAAGCAATAATTTTTCCCAAGAAAGCATTAGATAAAACCCAAATGATATTGAAAACAAAGTAAAAACTATAAGTTTATTCAATTCACAACTATTTAACACATTTACAAAATAGGCACACTTGAATAAAAATAAAGGTTTCCCCCTTCCTCCCCAAAAATACTTTAAGTATCAACTTAAAACCCAAATTTGACAGAGGAAAAACCCAAACTTACTATGCACAATTAGAATCTACAGACTAGAACATCTCTGCCCAAAGGATACTGGTGGTTTCTGGAAAAACTGTCCAGTTTTGCTAATTTTTGTGTGTGTTTGTTTTCAGGCCACACCTGCCTGGTCCTCCTCATCGGGGTCAGGGAAGACCTCTAGGGTGCCTCCCAGGCTGGGTACACATAGGCGAAAATGTCCTACCAACTGTACTATGTCTCTTACTCCCAGAAATTTTTGATCTTTTATTACGAACAAGCAGAGGTTCTCTTGACATCTATTTATGTAATCCCCCAGACAATGTTTTTTGATACAGAGTAAGTTTATGTCCCCTAGCTACTTATTTTAATCCATTTTAAATGCAGGATGAGAGAAGGGCTATTTCTAAAACAGTGTTTAAAGGGAGTACGTCTCAACTGTCAGTCTCCATGGGTTTCTTAACAAAAACTAAGATTATCAAGCATCAATTTTAATTTCTTCTCATCCCTGTCTCCACCCTTAAATATTGCTTTTTACCTGCCTGTAAATATCAAATACTATAAAATTAAAACTATTTCAAAGTCATTTACCATCGGCTGGCCAGCATCTGAGAATTTCACTTTAATATCTTTCAAATGCTTCAGAATAGGTTCATCATGTTCCTTTGGGGGAGGAAAAATTTACAATCAGTATCTATGACATTTTTAGGATTAGTAATGACCAATACTTAGTTGACAACTAATAAACGAGTCATATAATTTATGAAGCTTAAGATTAGTTTTCGGGACTGGAGCGACAGCACAGTGGGTGGGGTGTTTGCCTTGCAAGCGGCCAACCCGGGTTCGATTCCCTGTGCATCGCCAGGTGTGATCCAAAAACCAAAAAAAAAAAAAAAAAAAAAAAAAAAAAAAAAAAAAAAAAAAAGATTAGTTTTCAAGTGTGGTTTATACTAGTAAAACAAGTTTACTTAAGTTCTACTTACACTGTCACTGGTCGAAAAGAAGTGACTAAATACAGAACTACATAATCATAGACTGATAATTAACTACATAATTATCAACAGTAAGTATTAAGTATTTGCTGTAAAAATTGTTGCTTCACAATTATAATTGCAGCCTTTCTCTTGCTACTGGTTACTTTTCTTCTGCTTGATCCATTTCTAATTTACTAAAATAGAAATTAGTGATTCATTAGCAATTCAATAATTAAAACTTTAAGTACTACAATGCAGCTGATAGTATCTTGAGATAAGTTTTGATTATGAGAGTTTCCCAGAAAAGGTGACATCTCTACTGAATTTCCAAAAACAATTTTTTCCCACAAATAGTTGTTCAGAATAAAAAGGTCTCTTCTCACCAAAGTCGTTCTGAGGGTCTACGCCTCCTGGAGGCTACGGGCTTATTCCTACGGGCTTATTCTTTGGACAGGAGACCAATAGTGGTGGGTGCCAGGGAAAAAACCTCTGTACTATCTCTCTGACCCCAGGACTATTATTTTTAGCTATGGTATCAAAAAGACCTAAACATACCAGTATGACAAAACTATCCGGATTACTCCATTATGCTTCTTAAGAAATAATTTTTTGTGTGGTGTTATGGATTGAATCCGGAACATTACACGTGCAAAGCATGTACTCTATTACTGAACTATGCCCCCAACTTAAAAAAGTGCCTCAAAGTTAGTTAAAACTTGAGATTGGTGGGTTGCTCTTCAAGCCCATGATCTCCCTTGAATATATCTTGCTGGGTTTTCTCATGTTCCTTTGCTTATTTTCCACACTGGAAAAATCTGTATTCTCTCTTAAACACAATTATTCTCTTTCTATCCTTTCAAATCTTTCTAAGCTAGTTTCATTCAATAAAGTCTTGATTCACAAAAAAACAAAACATAAAACTAAAGACAGCTCAAAAGGCTGAAGCTGAACACTGCATGCATGCATGCAAGAGTCAATCCCCATCATTGCCATTGTGTAGTCTTGGTCACCCTGAGCAACACCAAGGATCACCTAAAAACTAAAAATTAAAAAAAAGTTGTCATCACACCTCCACACTAAGCTTCAAAAACAAAAGACATAGGGCTATAAGAAAGCACCAGTTGATGGAAAGAAACTGCCAATGGAACATTTCATTACTAGATTTTTGTTTTGGGGACTGGGGACACACTGATGGTACTAATTGTTGTTCAAGAAACTGTATGTGGTGTTGGGGATAGAAGCCAGATTTGCCACACACAAAGTATACATCAGCTCCTTGAACTATTTCTCCCAGCCTCAATACTTTTTAAAAATGAATCATATTTGATCACATTAAACATTAAGCTGCAGGTCGGAGCAATAACACAGTGGAGAGGGCATTTGCCTTGCACACAGCCAACCTGGATTCAATCTCCAGCATGCCAAATGGTTCCCTGAGCACTCAGTCATTCCTGAATGTAAAGCCAGGAGGAGTAACCCCTGAGCATCGCCAGGTGTGACCCAAAAAGCCAAAATAAATAAAGCTGCAAATTTTCTATTATTCTAAAAAAAAAAAAAATTCTGTAAAACAATAGCCACCACAACCATTTAAAACTTCAAATGATAAGATAAACTGTTTTCATAAAATTTACCTGAACCATATCACTGAGCAAGTCAACGTTCTTAAAAACAGTTAACCAAAATTCAGGAATTCCCTTGGGGTCTTCTTTTTCTTCATCTTTTTTCTCATCTTCAATTGTGACCTTGTCTTTCATCTCCTCCTTGATAAAAACAGCACACATTAATGCATACCTAGATCATATCTCTTATAAAATATCATATGTCCATAATTTGCATGCAGTAGCAAAGTATAAAAACAAAATAAACCTAGATAGGAAGATAACAAAGGACTGGAACCCTGGGTTCAATCTTATGTACTCAATGATCCTTGAGCACTAACAAGTATAGCCCAATATTCCAAAACAAAGAAAATACTAGCTAACCCTTTATTAGCAATTACAACTTTTAGCAAAAGAAATTCTACTCCAATTGTATAAAACAATGCTTCTACTATACATGTCAAACTTTAAAACCTCTGTAATACTACTACTACCACCATAACCTTCCCAGAAAGAAAACCCTAAGATTATGAGTAGTAGTAAAAAAATTTTTTTTGAGGGGATGAAGTGAAACTAAAGACGTTGAGCACAATAAACAGAAAATGCCAAAAGACCTAAACCTTATTCAATGCTAAACTAAAAACTTAGGCTATTATATTCTTTTATCAACTACCATTAAAATAACTGCTAATATAGTGTCACTACATATAATATAAAAGAAAAGATATATGTAATATAGCTGTACTATAGTTTATAAAATATACAGCACTGATTTGCGTAACTCTTTCATTTATCACTAACTGGGCAAGTCATTTTAAACTTGAATTCTTCATTCAAATAATGGGAAAACCCTTTGCATGTCACTATTAAATTTAAGGAGAAAGATTTTTTTAATGAATCTATAAACTTAAGTTCTATAAAAATGTAGAAGAGGCCAGAGAAATAGTGCAGTGGATAGGGACCTGCCCTGAATGAGACCAACTGAGTTCAATCCTAGGCATCCCAAGCACCGACAGGAATATTTTCTGAGTGCAGAATTCCTGAGAAATTGCTAAGCACTATATGGTATGGCCCCAAACCAAAAAATAACAATGACAATACAATGTAAGAGAAACATACTGTGAAAAATGAGATACCAGCAGTGCCAAGTTTAATAGGGACTAATCTGTACTCACTAATCATCTTAAATAAAAAAATAATTTTCCACATTATAAAAAGGCACTAACCGATATTTCATCTTCCTCATCTGGTTTCCATTCACATTCTTCTTCCGTAGGTTCATAAATTGCATTAATGATCTCAAATCGCTGAAATGACAAAAATAAAGCCTGTCATTAAAAATCATTAACATCCAAGCTAAAAGTTAGCTAGTCTTCACTATGGACTCAGAATTAACATAAATCTCACAACTTAATTGCTATGATTGATAGCTTTTTCAAATACTTCTAAAAATCAATTATTACCCACACGATTTTTATTTCCAGGGTTTTATTGTCTTCTCAAATTTTAGATACATAAACCAGTATAAAACTTTACCTTATCAAATAGAGGCTGATAGAGAACAGCATACTTTCTTTCAAGATCATGAACTTCCTCATAAAACTTGGCTTCTATCTGTGCACATTTAACTTGAAGGTTTTTGAGAGCATTCACTCGTCTTTTAACTACCCTAGGCAAGCTGAAAGGGTAGAAAACACCCGTCACGAAACATCACAATAAAACCTATACTTTTATCATATTAAACTAGTAAGTATAAAGTTAGTGAAAAATAAGCAAAACAATTAGAATTCAAATTAGATAAAAACACATCTCTAACCCTTATAAAACATTTCAATCAATTATAGTAGCACTATAGCACTGTCCTCCCATTGTTCAACGATTTGCTAGAGCGGGCACCAGTAACGATTCCATTGTCAGACTCATTGTTACTGTTATTGGCATATCGAATACACTACGGGGAGCTTGCCAAGGCTCTGCCGTACAGGCAGGATACTCTCAGTAGCTTGCCGGGCTCTCTGAGAGGGACAGAAGAATCGAACCCAGGTCAGCTGCAAGGCAAACACCCTACCCGCTGTGCTATTGCTCCAGCCCATCCTTTAGGCTAATAAATAATAATCTATAATAATACCTGACTGATAAATGGTAGTGAATTTTTTAAAGAAAAGTAACCCCAAAAAAAGAAGTGATAAAAAGCATGTGGAGGTTAAATCAAATATATAGTAAACGGGTATAATAAAAATCATACAATCAACCTTAACTCTTTCATCATAATCTCAAATTCAACACTAGATGCATCAATGCTGGCACCTTGGTTGCAAAATTTATCAAGTTATCTCAAAATATATCAGGGCATAAGTTAATAAATCATCAAATGACTACCTTAACTTTAAGAATAGCAGCAACAACCTAAAACTAAACATGAGAATATTGGAGGAAAGGATGACTCATGACAGAACTTGTTCAATTTTAATTTTTTAACCTGGAATTTGAAATTATATTAAAAAATTTAAGGGAGTTTTAAAAAAATAACAGCTTTAATGAGGTATAACTTATCATATAATTCAATATGGAATACAGAGTTAAGGAGATTATACACACACAGGTTGAACCCCTTGAAGAATGACTAAATTATGAAGTCTACCTTCCCTCCCAAAATGTCTCTAACTTCAGAGAATCTAAAACCCAGAATTCCCTTACTTAACCACTATTTTAGTTGAGACAGCAACTTTTTCTTACAACTGAAAATAAAAAATTAAATATTCTGTAAAGGTGATAAAATAGGGCCCAGAGAAATAGTATAGCAGGTAAGGAACTTAACTTGCACAGTACTAACCAGGGTTCTATTACTGGCACATCCAAGAGTGATGTCTGAGCACAGAGTAACTAAGCACCACCAGGTATGGTGCAAAAACAATCACTGAAAATAAAACTGCCTGAACCACTGTGAGTATCTCCAAAACAAATCAAACTTTAAAACCAACAAAAAACTATTTCAGGCAGGAACACACACAGAGAAAGACACACACAACCTCTGTGTACAGAAGAAACTATTTCAAGCAGGGATGAACACACAATAGTCAGCTTCTTTTCTCCTCTCTGAGTACAAATGCTATGCCCTCCAAAGGCAAGGAGAAAAAGGGGCCTGGAACTCTCAAACAACTCTGAATTCCATTCACTCAATTCCCTCCTGCTTAAACTTCATGAGAATGTCACAAATCAGAACTGTCACAAGCTATGTCTAATCTTCATCTCTCCCTTAATATTATTAATGTGATATTACCTCAGTACACCTGAGGTCACCAATAAAGTCAATACAACTCAACTGTATTGCTCAAAGTTGAGCAATTACAATTTCTATGAAGAATGAAATACCTACCCTCTGAAGCAGCATTATAAATTAAGAATTTAATATATTTAAAGAAATAGGGAAGTGGTTATTAACAATACCAAAAAACTTAAAACAAAACAGGAACATTCACTGTATCACTGTCATCCCATTATTCATCAATTAACTCGAGCGGGCACCAGTAACACCTCCATTCGTCCCCATCCTGAGATTTTAGCAGCTTCTCCTTACTTTTCCAATGCTGCCATATTGGAGGCTCTTTCAGGGTCAGGGGAATGTGACCCATTATTGTTACTGTTTTTGTTATATTGAATACACCACGGGTAGCTTGCCTGGCTCTGCCATGTGGGAGGGATACTCTCATTAGCTTACCAGGCTCTCTGAGAGGCATATATATATATTTCCCTCTATGATTTGTTGCCTACTGTCTGAACCCCATCAAATATGGTGTGGTAATTATGCAAAATGGGTAGAAGGTGTCTTATGATGTGTTGTGAACATTAGCTATAAAAAATAATTCAAGTAAAATAGTTAACCTAAACATAAGATTAAAAGGCTAGGTTCAATTGGAGAAAGTCTATTAAGCTGACAAACTCACTAGAAAGGGAACAGGAACACTAATGAGAAATGGATGACAAAATTAACTGATAAACAGAGAAGATGGATTATTTTAAGAAATAAGAAAAATCTGAGTAAAACTCCATGATGAGACGTAACAATTTTCACATAAATTTTATTTTTCAAACTCATCAGTTTTAATATGGAAGCTTTGTTAACTAATCAATTTTAACTAGAAAACTAAAAAAGAAATAAAAATTTTTAAAAAATCCTCTATGGGAGAAAAGAATCCTAAAATATGTTACTAAGATCTATGAATCACTGTATCACTGTCATCCCTCCCGTTGTTCATCGATTTACTTGAGCAGGTGCCAGTAACGTCTCCATTCGCCCCAGCCCTGAGATTTTAGCAGTCTCTCCTTACTCGTCTTTCCCAATGCTGCCATACCGGAGGCTCTTCCAGGGTCAGGGGAAAGAGACCCATTATTGTTACTGTTTTTGGCATATCAAATACACCACGGGTAGCTTGCCAGGCTCAGAGCCTGGCAGAACTATGAATATATATATATATATATATATATATTTTTTTTTTTTTTCTTTTTGGGTCACTCCTGGCTCTGCACTCAAGAGTTACTCCTGGCGGTGCTCAGGGGACCATATGGGATGCTGGGAATCAAACCCGGGTCAGCCACGTGCAAGGCAAACAAACGCCCTACCCATTGTGCTATCTCTCCAGCCCACTATGAATATTTTTTAAAAAATATTCTAATTGTGTTCAATGAAAAACTATGAAGCAAAAGCAAGTCAAACTGACATCAGGTTTGGAAATACTATATAAGAAACTAAATGATCATTTTAAAGATTAAAGATTAATATTTAAGAGCTTCAAGGTACCAATTTTATACCATAGTATTATTCAAATAAAGAAGGGGGGGAAATCCTGCATGAAATATACCAGGCTTCGGCAAAAAGGCCACAGATATTTACTAACCAGATAATTAAAAGATGTATATTTGTAAACAATATAGATACTGGAAAAATTAAGAGGGGTTAATAACATTATATTATTAGGCTGAGTCATTTTACCATCGCTAGACTTAGAATGCATTAACTTTGAAATGGGAAGATTTAATACTTAACTATTCAGTGGAGCAAGAAAACACGCACACCACATACATTTAGGGGCCAAAGAGATAGTAAAGTGGGAGGGTATGTGCCTTGCACATGGCCAAACTGGGGTTTGGTTTGATCCCCAGTATCCTATATAATCCCTGGAGCACCACTAGGAATGATTCCTGAATATAGCCAGGAGTAACCCCTGAGCATTATGGCCACAAAACCAAAACCAAACAAAAACAGTACTTAAAAAGAAGGGGGGAAAAAAGATAGCAAGTAAATGCAAAGACATGTAACTCTTAAGAAATGCAAAGTTTGAGACTACTAGTAATAAAGCAAACAGTCACACCGAGCAAGATAAAAAGGACGATAAAAAAGCCAAGTAAATCATCTGGGACAGTTCAGAAAAAAGTTTCAATAATTTTGTTATATGAAAAATAATCCCTTACAAACATATTACTAGTGAACTAAAGCAAGAAAACAAAGTCAATATATCATAATGCATGCCTAATAATACAGTCTTAAAAGATACGAATTCTTAACTGATGAGTTATACATAGGAACAAATAAATTAAGTGTAAACTACTTTGCCATGTGGAGGGATCAAGGCCCAAAATGCAAGGCAGGCACTCTACCACTCACTCTGCCAGGAATCACTCCCAGCAGTATTTAGAAGACAGAATTAATTGTTTGCTTCCCAGAAACAATTAGAACAGACAATAACCAGAAATAAAGAGAATCTGAGTGATATAAATCCAAGCTATATAATTTCAACATATATTCATAGAACATTTACAAAACAAGTAATGAAATTTACAGGCCAATTTTCCAAAATCTAATGAATAAGCATATAAAGAGACTGGAAAAAGCAGGGAACTCAAATAAGGAAAGAGTAGCATTCCAGACAGAAGAGCTCTAATAAATATATAAAGAACCACCAGAGGTCAGTCCTGAGCACAATCTAGAATAGCCCCTGAACACAAGGTGTGGTCCAAACTCCAAATACAAAATACAAGATTACACAACTGAAACCTAATAGATGCAAAACTACAGATTATATAAAGGAAAATAGTTACTTGCATGTATTAAAGACTAATTAATGTGAAGACTGAATAAATATAAACATCTCAAAATATAAAAGCCTCCAGAACTAACCATAAAAAAAGAGAAGGGGGCAAATCCCATTTTCAGAAGAGTTCTAAATACTGTTCAATAAACAAATAATTCCCGCCCCCATAACTTGTTAGATTCACAGTATTTCACATAGTCTCCCAAGTACCACCAAGACCTATGCGTGTGGCCCAAAAACGCAAATTTAAAAAAAAGTAAAACCAGGCAAGGACAGATTATCATTCTGGGATTTTTTTTTGTACTTTCATACATATATGGACACATACAAACTCGCTTCATAGCCCTGGCTGATGTTAAAAAGAAAAATAAACACCGCATGGTGTAATGTGATTAAAGCTAAAAATTATATTACAATACAAGAATTAGCCAAGAAAAAAACTGAAGAAAGCTTTGCAAGAAGACAGAAAATGTGATCTGAATATGAATGACAACTCAATATTAAAAAACAATCTTATGCATACAAATATCAAAGTCCAATGACACAGAAGAGTACTGCTCAAAGACAAATACAGATGCTCATAAGAAAATTGATGCATATAGAGACAACCACATGATAACCACAAATAAGGCAAGAACTGAGAAAAGGAACTGAAGACTTATTTACACCACATATGAGTGAAACCTAGAAATTTAGCTACTCAATATAAAAGGTTAAACTAGTCAGTAAGATATGTCGATAGAACTAGGAAAGATTTAACTTCAAGAGAACAAGTTATAAGTTAACAATGTAAAAATTAAGAATTTCTATCTAGCTCAGATAGAGAAGGAACCACCAAATAAAGGGTGTTTAGAGGGCCTGCTCGGGATGGGAGAGGCGTGCCAAAAGTAGACTATAGACCAAACATGATGACCATTCAATACTTGCATTGCAGACCTCAACAACCTAAAGGAAAGAGAGAGTAAAAGGGAATGTGCAGGTCACAGAGGGGGAGGGGGAGGGCGGGGGGGGGGGGGAAGGATGCTAGGAGCATTCGTGGTGGAGAACAGGCACTGGTAGAGGATGGGCACTCGATCATTGTATGACTGAAACATAAGCACAAAAATTTTTAAGTCTATAACTATACCCCATGGTGATCAATTAAAAAAATAAAAAGAAAAAAGGATTTCTGTCTATGGCGAGTACTATAGATAAAATTAATGGAAATGACACATCAGATTTTAAAGGTGTAAAACAGATAAGGGATTAATGTCCAGAATATGGACTCTTAAAAAAAAAAAAAACTCCGAAAGGAAAAAGAAAAAAGGAAACACATGATAATCTAGAAGGCTAAAAAATCACAGAGACTTAAGTACAAACAGGGGAAGAGAAATAGCTCTTGTAGTAGAACCCATGTAGCACATGAAAGTCCCAGAGCTTGATCCCTGAAATTAAGTGCCCTCCAATGCAAGCACTACTGGATGTAGCCCATAAAAATTGACAAAATAAGCCTATGCCTCTAGATTTCTAAGACATACATAACTGTGATGCTGAGTTATTGGCAGAAACACAAGGGAAAATGCAACCTCCATGTACTGGATAGTTATTCTTAAAAGCAAGCTAGAGAACTGGTCTATTATTATTATCATTTTGATCTGCATATACCAAAATAAGCAAGTCCGAACAAGAAATTCTGACAATGTTCTTTAAGAGGATATATACAAGGATGATCATTACATGGGAATTTGTGTTGATGAAACTGGAAGGCAAACTAAGTCCATCAAAGAAAAAGAATATGATATGGTGAACACACAACACAAGGAATGACATAACACTTATAAGTGTAGTAACTACTGAATAAAGACCCATATATGCAGCAATTGAATATTAAAGACTTATTAAAAATTCCCACCAAAAAAACCATCTGAAAAGTTACCAACTTGTTCAATCACCAATTTAAAAAAATCTGTATTTCTTCTGAATCTATCCTTCTAACAAATCTCAGATATGACAAAGATCATATACTTAACATGAAGGAGAATCTAAATAAAATTTAAAAGAACACCTCTAACTTGGTGATATTTAGCAAAATCTTTCATTCCCAATAATCCTACACTAAATACTAGTAAGACATTAGCTTTCTATTTGCATATAAATTCTAGATGGTCTACAAAATAGATACACCTGTAATGATGACAACATAAATTAAGGAACTATGGAAAAGAACTTGTACCTTTCAATGTATCCTGTTGGTGTTTCTACCAGACCATCAAGTCTTTCTTGAAGGGCTGCAAGAATCTGAGGATTTTGCATCATCTGAACAGTCAGCTGACGCGCTTAAAAAAAAAAAGGCATCAAAAGGAGGATTTTATGAAAATTATAGGCTATTTTAGGATAATCCAATAAAGAAGTTTTCCTGACTAGTTTATAAAACTGTTGAGTTAGGTAGGATGGTAAATAAATTCCAAATGAGCAAAATATTATACCTCATGGCCACTATCATACCTACTATGACAGTATTTTCTCTTCCTATATAGTGCTTTACCCACCTTGCATTTTTGGGAAACTCAAAGCTTCACTCAGATGCCTATCTATAATCTAAGATATCCCTCTGAAGGCAGGTATTTACCAGAAAATGCAAATACAATGAAAAATTTAAACCTGGGAGCTAGAGATGTGAAAATTTGATGGCTATATGTACTGTGGTTGCATGTTTCTGAAGAGAAAAGTTCACAATTCTTAGGTAGATGGGTCTTTTGGGTAATAGGATGCACTACAAAGCTGATGCTAGTGTGATGACAATTGTACTCACAGAGATGAGAATCTAAAACTCTAAAACTGTAAAATGAAGTCAACAAAAAAATTTAATGTTAACAGTCCAGATAGCATACCTGTTTCTGAATAGAAAAAGTTAACAATTTTGATACCCAAAGTCAAAATTTGGTTATTAATGGTGTTTAAAAATTATTTTCAATCCAAACGTTTTATATATGAAACAACTTTTGCTAACTATTTAGACATTATATACAAAATTATCAATGTTTTCAATTTATGGATTAAAGGTCAATTTCAATGATTAACATTAATTTGATTAGATAATGTACAGTAGTAAAAATGAGTATAACTCAATATTGACCACAAAGGATATAGTCATAGCTCTATCTCTTAAGAAAATACTGAAAAATGAAAGATGAAGATGGAAGAAGTTCAAATAAAAAATGTGTCAGTAATTTGTCATGGACAAACCTCAAAAACCTCAACAGCCTTGGCCATTTCTACAAGTATAATCTAAAGCATAAAGCAGTCTAATTTCTCAATGCTATCACTACCACCACCACCACCCCACCCTTAAATTTGCTAAAGAAAACCTTGAAAGGTTTTGTGTTCATGTTGAAATGGATTTTTAAAAATACAAGAAGTGTACTATACACTAGACATTTGCAAATAGATCTAAGCTAATGTTTAGCACCACCAAAATCATTTCTGAATTCAGACAAAACTCATGACCTGTGAACTGCTTATGAACAGTTCATATGAGTTGTAAACTGACACAGCTATGCCATTTCGGTCAAGCAACAGAAGTACACTCTGGCTTCTGATGGGGCACACTGGACTCATACTTTCTTCCCTTACAACCACCTATATTGAACTCTCTTCGCTCCTCCCATTCAACTGTTACTGAAGTAGATGTATAGGGAGGTAGAGTGAACAACGTTCAGAAGTAGAAATGCATTTATTACTACCCTCCAGAAGATATGTGCCAGCAATCACTGGCTCCTGAAGTAATTTAAAATAATACCTTTGATTTTTGTTTCTTCACCAGTTTCTTCCTCTTCTACTTCTTCAACATCATCCAAATCTTGATCAAGCTCAGCCTGTTCTTTGCTACAATATCATAGTATCACACCAAAGTTCATATGTACCAATTATAAAATATAAAAATAAAAATATTATAGAAAAACTTCAATTAATTTTCTGTTAATATGCTACTTATAAAAATATCTAAATATAAAGTATTTTAAATTCAAAATGTTTTTTCATTTTTTTGAACTCCATAAGCAAATAGGAATTAGAAATAACAAAATCCCATTTTAAAGACACAGTCACACATGAAAGTTTAAATTTCAAGCTAAATGTGACTTAGTAAGCTATTATTCAGGAAATATAATACAGGAATATATACGTATTGTCCAATAGTCACTGATCTCAACCCTAGTAATAGTAGCAAAATTTTGAGATAGCAGTAAATCCTGCTAAAATCCCAGCCTACCATTTAATATTACTAGAGACTATATTTTAGCAATGAGATTTAAAAAAAAGTAGTAAAAATTTTAGAAAGTGTCCTTTAGAGGATACCAGACAGCTGGGAGGCCTTTTTGATCTTGCTCTTTCTGGAATAAGGATGTGAAACTGAAGCTTCACAGCTATGAGGCAGGCATTTGAGAAAAGGACATTAAAAGCTGAGGTTGAAGCCCTTTTAGAAGAAGGTGGATCTTGGAACCCTGTTTGTCATGGAGCAACCATACAAGCCTGTTCTCTTTACAATATTATTTTTACTTCATAGGAGACGGTAGGAAGGACAGAAGAAGTTGAAAAGACTTTATTTTACTTTATTCTTATAGAGAATAGGCCATTGAAAGAGAAGGATAATTAGTAAGATAAGGTTCCTCTTATTTGGCCTTAAAAATTACAACAAGTCTAAGGGGAATATAAAGATAATTCAAAGGGTTGGAGCTCATGTTTACATGCTAGAACTCTGTATTAGACCCCCAGCACCCAATTCTGCACAAAAACCAAATACAGAAAGGAAGTAGTGTACTAGTCGTGGACAACAATATGCACACAGACTATTATATATTCCTTGTGTGATCTCACACTTTAATATTCAATTTGCTGTTTTCTTGTCCGAAACAGCATTTTAAAAGTATCAGTGCAGAAAAAAGAACATATTTTGCAAAAAAAATCTAAGTCCCTGTTAACTTTGGAATAGTTCAGTCTTCATATCAGAAAATATACAGATCTGAAATATCTCTTAACAGTATTAACTTTAGCATACTTAATTATGGGCTATTGAATGGGTGTGGGGGGATGACACAAAACCTCAGTTCTTTCTTCATTATTATTTTATCTACTTATATGGTACCAAATACCTAAAATACTTAGTGATAATTCCTCAGCAGATCAAGTTTCTGACTCCTGCTTTAAAGAACAAGAGTCCACTCTTCCTCACGACCTCCTAGAACTTAACAGACTTCCAAAATTAAAAGGGTATGTGTTGTTTGCCACTCAATGCCTCTTTTGCAGACCACAACACCCAAACGGAGAGAGAACACAGGGGATTGCCCTGCCACAGAGGCAGGGGGGCATGAGGGGATGGGGGTGGGAGGGATATTATCCATGGTGGTGAAAAACGGGCACTGGTGGAGGGATGGGTATCTGATCATTGTATAATTGAAACCCAAGCACAAAAAATTGTAAATCTACAACTGTAAAAAAAAAATTTAAAAAAAAAAAAATGAACCTCAAAAAAAAAAAGGTATGTGTGTGTGTACTGGGAAAGAAAAGAAAATTTATGTCATCATAACCAATTTTTTATATTAAAGTTTAAAACAAAATTGTATTCCAAGATTAAGATGGCAGGTCATACATACTCATCTGCATATCCAAACCCAGCACTAATAATAACCCTAACCACTGAGAAAAGGAAAACAACTATAACTTCACTGAAAACAAAAAATAAAAAGTTAACAAGTAGGGAAGGCTGAGAAGTAGCCCAAACATAATCTACAAGCAGGGCTGAGGGATTGAAGGTGGATAAAATACAGAAGATACTAACAACCATCAGGAAGTAGTTAATCCTCTGATCTCTTCCTATATAGCAGCATATTAAACTGAGCTCTGACTAAAGGATCATGTACAGTTAAGAGAATCTAACAGTTATTTACAGTTTTGTGCACCTGTGGACAACTTCTCAATTTGGCTTTAAAAATACAGAATCACACTGTTACCCAGATACTTTTTTCATGGGACTTACTTAACAGTCCTGGGGGGGAAAGTGCCAAATTCCCTGGTGAATTCACACACCATGTGCCCACTCTTGACAATCTTGGGTTAAAATCCTAAATGGGCAAATCTCCCCCTCCAACATGTAAATTTCTAATCAACAAGGGAGAGAAAATTTAAGAACAAACTATTGAGAAAGAAATATCCAAAGAAAAGATACTACAAATAGGAAAAGAGAAAAGCTATTAAAAATGAAGACAATCAAAATTTACAGGCGTTGAAAGAGTTGAAATTTTTGAGAGTTCCAAGTATGTCCAGCAAGACCAAAGTGACAAAGATGGGAAACAGGACGAAAGGAGCTTAAGAAAGAAGCAAACAGAACAAAGTCAAGAATACTCCCTAGAACTGAAAGCAGAGCTTTCTGAAATATATGGCTTTTTTTTATATGGCTTTAAAAAAAAGCCATATACAAAAGATAAAAATTATGACTAAATTAAACTGGATGGAGACAAATGAGCAATGCCTTCAAAATTCTGGGGAAAAAAATGACCAAATTAGAACTTTACACTGAAACTACCAGACATGAGAATAGAATAGTCACTTTTAATTATGTTATTTTAAAATAATTTACTTTTCTTGTACTCTTCCAAGGCATTAAACTAAAGAACCAAAAGGGGAAAGGGAATGAGAATAGCAAACTACAAAGCCAAAGAGGAGAAACAAAGGAAACATGAGGAACATAGTAAAATAGATTCACATTGATAGCTGTGTAGCCAAGATGTTGGATACATAGTAATCAATCACATGTATACAATCAATTCAGATGAGAACAGTACAATTAAAGAGACACACTTTTGAGAGCCATTATCTGAAACACCAGCAGAAGAGAGCTCATTTGAGAAGCTGAGATTCCTGTTTGAACTGCATGTGCTGCCCTTAAGCTAGTTTCCTGTACTCCCTCCTCCACGTGCACCCACAAAAACATTGAATACCACACCTCTTTCATCCAAGTGCTGTTTAAAATACTCCTGACAGGCGACAATAAAATTATAATTAAACTAATGCAGCTCAAACCATACTCTCTGACCTTATCTCTCTAAAATCTGTTTCCACAACAGAACCCTGGAAACGCTAATTGGATTAAAAGTACGCTCTACAATGGCATGCCTCAGCCCATGACTTGTCCAACCAAAATAAGAACTTTCCTTGCAAAGTTCAGGGAAGTTGAAGACAGACTGATTCAGATAAGCTTCTGGTTACATTTTTTTATAATCTTAGTATTATTCTCCACTAAATGGGCTGAGATTATTTTCTTTACATAGTTATTGTGACTACTAGTTGCGTTTATCAAAAAGAAATTTTAGTTAAGAATGTATAGGTATAGCAAAAACTGCTAGGTAGTAAAGAAAAGCAAAGACATAAATTAGATAAAAAGAGAGTGTTTCTATCTATGGAGAGAAATACAGGATCAACTGAGCAAGTGGTCCAAAGAGCTCCTATTTGAAACCTGAATGTAAGTGTCCTTTTATTCTGTAATTCCTACAAATACATTTTGTAAGCTTTTAATCTCGTATTTATGACTCATTACAATGTAAGCTATAAAGTCTCTGAGAAATATATAGAGGGTAATTGAAAATTCTGAATATTTTATGATTCATTATTGTGTTCAGCATTTCCCTGAGAAAACTGACAAATGATTCACTATATTGATGACAATGATTATGTGTACTATATTATGTCTTGGATACACTGTACCCAACTTTGACAATGGTAGATGCTAAGGATTAGTCATTTCATGCATTTTAATACTGCCACTACCCACATAACATGATAATATGATACCGAATCACAAGGGGAAAAAAAGCCTGGCACTTACTTGTCAATATCCGCCATGTTGTAAGAACTGCAAGTATCTAAGGTAAAAAAAAAAAAAAAATCAATGTTAAAAAAAAGTATACAAATTTGAGAACCAGTTAAAACAACTGAAGTCAAAACACTTTAAATACCATATTAAAAACTATCCCAAGAAATTTTTAAAAGGGAATGCCCTGCCACAGAGGCAGGGTTGGACGGGGGGGATGGGCATGGGAGGGATACTGGGATCCATGGTGGTGGAAAATGGGCACTGGTGGAGGGATGTGTATTTGATCATTGTATAATTGAAACCCAAGCACAAAAATTTGTAAGCCTACAACTGTACCTCATGGTGTTTCACTAAAAAAAATTTTAAAAAATGTTTGAATAAAAATTTTTTTAAAAAAATTTTTAAAAAGCATCAGTATTAAGAAAATGCAGCTTCATGCTAGCTTCTAAGCCATTTTTCACATTGGCGTAAAACAAGCAAATTACTACCATGTTTTTAGAATCATGTAAGAATCACCAAAAAGGAATAATAGAAAGGACCTTATGACTCCTAATACCAACACATTTGTTTACTACCCAAAAGTTACAACCTATTTCAGCAGTCAAATGGCAATCCTTGAAAAGGACTATATACAAATTACAAAAAATTTCTTCCTAATGTACTCTACTGCATTTATTTTGTTCTATTTGCTTTAAATAACTTTAATAACATTTATAAAATTCTCTAGTAATACTAGGAAAAGCATCATCAATAAATATTTAGCAAATATAAATATTAATACAACAATATAAAAATGTTATTGGTCAACAAAAATACGCAAAGAAACTCTAGTCTGCCTATTATACTAGCAAGGATTTTTTTCTTAAGTTCAAAGAAAACTGTGAGGCATAAACATTCTTAAATGACTGTTATTTTTATAAACTGTTATCTCTCTAGATAGCAATCTGACTCAAGACTTAAATATGTTCATACCCAGCCCTGCAATTCACATGAGAATCTAACATGAAAAAAAACTTTTTCTGAAGACCTGTGCTTTTTTTTTTACATTAACCTAAGCAGTTTTCTGCCAGAACTTCAGTAGATAGTTCTGCACAATCTTTTTTTTCCTGACCTCATGGCTCTATTTAACTTCTTCAGAGATACTTTGTCATATACATTCTGTTCAAGTAAAATCTTAAAAAGCATTTTTACATTTTTACATGCTACAGGGATTCTATCTGCTTTTGCAAACCACTGCATAGTATCCCCTTCACAGTACACAAATCTTAACACATAGAACATTACAGTTACAATCTTTATCTCATCAAAAATAAGACCACAGGAACCACTTTATAGGGATTCCTAACTGCTTTTGCCAACCACTACACAGTATCCTCTTCAGAGTACACAAAGCTATGAAGACATATGCACAGAATATTGCAGTTACAATTTTTATCTCATCAAAAATGTTTAATAGAACATAGTGTGTATACAACAAAACACAGTTAAAATGGAAATTTTGAGTTGGTGATTCCCCACCAGATACACAGGATGTATGACAAAATTCAATCTGGGGGTTTAAAAAGTATGCATAATCATAGATACACATTTCCAACTGTAACATTTATGGTAAAAGACACCAGATATCTAACAATAGCTAACTATTAACAAAAACAGCAGGCCCAGAGAAAACACAGTGGGCTGGAGCACAAACTTTGTATAGAGGAGGTCTGCATTCAATTCCCAGTACCATGTATAGTTGTCTGAGCACTGCCAAGAGTGACTCCTGAGCACTCTAGGGTGTGGCCACAGACAAAGAGTCAATATACATAATTTGGTTTTCCCTCGTAATTATTATATAACATTCCAAAATTTGCTAAGTTGAGAACAGTACCTAGTAAATCCTTAACTGTCAATAAATGAAACTTTTAAATTCCAAATTTTTTTTGTTTTGATATGCTCACAGAAAAATGGATATATTACTATCCTCAGTGTCTCCGGTTGTATGGTTACATTTAGAATTCAAACTTATGAAGAAATTTTTTTTAGCTCTTACTTTTTCATTATTTTATTTTGGAGTCACACCTCGAAATGTTCAGGGATAACTCCTTACTCTGCATCAAGGTTTGTCCTATTCTTCACTCAGAGATTGACTCCTGGCAAGGCTTAAAGGAACCATATAGGGTGCCAAGGACATCACCAACACTATCACCCCGTTGTTCTTCAATTCGCTCTAGCGGGCCCAGTAACGTCTCCATTCATCCCTGTCACATGCAAGTGTAGCCTGATGACATATTGGGGGCTCCTTCAGGGTCAAGGGAATGAGGACCATTCATTGTCACTGTTTTTGACATATCGAGTACGCCACGGGTAGCTTGTCAGGCTCTACCGTGGGGGCGGGATACTCTCGGTGGCTTGCAGGGCTCTCCGAGACGGATGGAGGCTTTTGGGGCAGCCTCTAATCACCTTTACAGGTGTTCCTAGTCAGGCACATAGGTGGGTATGATACTCTCAGTAGTCTGTTGGGTTCTCTGAGAGTGAGAACTAGAGAATAAGAGGTCGCATGGCCACAAACGCGGCCTCGCGATTCCAGGAGCTTGGTTTTATAGTCTCTGGATGGCCATTGATGGGGTTACACGGCAGTTGGTGGGTGTAACTGTCTAGTTACTGGAAAGTGGGGGAGCTGGGTGGAGAGGCCCAGTCCCGAACAGAGAATACAGGGGATTGAAACCGAGTTGGATGCATGCAAGGCAAGCACCTTAATTCCTGTACTCTATTCTCTCCCATCCCTCCTTTAATTCTTTAAAAAGTTAAAAGGCTCGGAAATTTTCAAGGGCTCCTCAATAGAGCAACTAGCCTCAATAAAGCAATATGCAAGATGTGAGGCCTTGGGGACAATTCCTAGTATACACACTTCAAGACAAAGTGATGCCACTTTTTCAGAGGTGCCTTCTCCAATTTTGGATAAATTAGGTTTCTTTGTTTTAATTTTTTTTCTTTCAAAGTAAGGCTAATTGTGTATTTAGACTATTTGCTTTATAGCAAATGGAGCTCAAACAACTTTTGGCCAAAGTTAGGACAAAACAAGCAAGTTGGATTGCTCTAAGAAGCAAATTCATGTAAAAATTCATGTTCGACGGCTGGTCAACTCTATTCTATTTGAAAACTGTCCATTTTGAATTATCCATGGTGGATGGTCAATTTTCCCACAAAATCATTTGCTAGGATGATAGTTGAAAGCAGATTCTTCTTAGTTTTTACAGATTGACCAATAAATATACCTTGGTATTGTAAAATGCTTATGTCAGAGGACACTAGGAATAAAGCATGCAGTAATTGAATTTTTCTGGAAAATCTAAAATTAGAAGACAACGTTAGATTTAGATATTTTCATATCAAGATTCTGTACCAACATTCATGAAGAGATGGGACCCAAAAATATATAATCCAAAATGAAAATTCAGCAACTAATGCCGCTAGGTATAAGATAACGTACTGGGGGGGGGGGGGGGGGAAGGTCCGGTTTAGATTAACATCTACATTTTGGATTTGTCTTTTTCTGAAAGGAGAGGGAGCCACACCCTGCTGTGCTCAGGGCTTGCAACTGGCAGTGGGAGGCAATCATAAGGATTGCTAGGGATGGAACCAGGGCTGGCCACATGCAACAGAAGGGCACTACCTGCTGTACTATCGGTCTGGCCACCACTACTGTTTTAATTCTTTCTACTGCAGTCAACAACTCTAAGTAAAGACCAATGAGAATTTCACTTATCAGACAAGAATTGGATTTCTAAGAGATCTGAATTATTTGAATTCCTGGCAGAGACAAGATCAGTGGATAAACAGAAGTCCTGTTTGCCCTGAGAGCAACTGTCTATCTTAAATTTGAACCTTCATTGTAGATTTGACTACACGGAGTAAAAGCAAAAGCTCCGGAACTGTGAAAAAGTTTATAGCAACCTCCCAAAAGAACTAAGAACCCTGAAATGCTATATTCTTAGGGACTAAAAAATATGTAACACTTGTCCTATACAAAAGCTTAAATTCACCTAATCTGTTGCCTTCAAAACCCTAAACTGTGAGCTTGGAGAGGTCAGGTCTGTGTTCTTAAGTGTTCACATAGCCAAGTATAAGTAAAAGGCGCCTTCACCCTAGAATTCAAATAATTCATACAAGAAATTTGCAAGTTACATACAGTACAAATGGGGCAACAGAACATACAACAGAAGCAGTCAAACAAAGACAAATATTGTCAGATCGTAAACAAATGTGCTTAAAAGTAGATAAAGAGACTCCTGCTTTGAGTTTGAAAATAAGTGTCTAGAGGCTGGAGCGATAGTACAGCAGGTAGGGCGTTTGCTGGGTTCGATTCCCAGCATCCCATATGGTCCTTTGAGCAGGACAAGGAGTGATTCCTGAATGCAGAGCCAGGAGTAAGTAATCCCTGTGCTTCGCAGGGTATGACCAAAGAAGCAAAAACTAAAAAGAATGTCTAAAGAAATATTTGCAATGAAGTCACCTATTAAAGGTGATTAGCAAATTTGCAAAAGAACTAAATTGGGGGGGCGAAGAGATAGTATAGCAGGTAAGGTGCTTGCCCTTGCAATCAGCCAACCTAGGTTCGATCTGCAGCATCTCACAGTCCTCTGAGCGCACCCGGAATAATTCCTGAGAACAGAGCCAGGGGTTACCCCTAAGCACCACCAAGTGCGGTTCAAAAACAAAAACAAGAACTAAACAGAATGTCTACCTACATAGAAAGATAACAAATAGAACTAAATGGGTAAATTTAACGGTATGAGCTGGAGAGAATTAAGTGACCTGGAAACAAATTTAAAAGACAGCTTTTAAGACAGCTTTTAATTATAGCAAAGACTAAAAAGGATCAAAAATACTTCAAAGATCAGGAAAAACACTTTCTAAGATCCGGAAAATCTAGCTCAGTGAACAGATTCCACATACGTAAGGCTCTCAGTCCAACACTGAGCAATACATATTTCAAAATACAACAAAGCTTTAATACAAGTCCTAGAAGTGAATAGACAGAATATTTTAAGAAATTAACAGCTA